ATTTAATGGGATGTTTATTTGTCCCGACGTTTCAAATTGAAAACGGTATAAAATTCAAACAGATGTGTTGGTGTGCATTGTGCGCGCCGTTTACTGTAATTCACTGAGTCTATATTATATACGGTACATTAGTGTTGTCGACATTGACAATAAAATTGCAAACGAACATAGTATCCAATTTGCAGACGTTACATTCGCAGCACTCACTCATTCAACTGTAGTGGTAATGTAGTGGAATTTTTTCGAACGCATACTTGCATCCATGGAGCTGGTTCGCTCGTTTAAAACGTCTGATTTGATTGCTAGGGAATCGTTTGTGTCGGGCCCGCATTCAACAAAAACTATAACATCGATGTTGACTATGGCATTGGATATTATAATGCGATGAAGAAGATCTGAGTGTAAGCTGATAGATGGAGAAAAAAGGACATTGCAATTGACTGGAGTCAATGATAATTTTGCATCGAATACAAGGACAAACAACATTATTTCTCTGCTTTAAATGAACACCAACAAGAAGCGAATGTATAAAATGCGGTCTGTAACGATCCCAATCACAAGCTTACCACGCTTTTTTATTTTTTTATTTTTTCACAAGATTAACGAAAACTTTTAGCACAACCGATAAAAAATATATTCGTTCAAGAGGAATGCAATGAATAATTGAATGACATGCATTAGCAAAGCTGTATGTGTGAGGCTTTGTATGTAATGAACTTTGTTTATAAGGCCAGGGCCACGTATAAAATCCGAAGTAGTTGACACGTTGACAGTAACATGACTGTAGCGGGAAATAAATTGCTTACAAATCATGCCGCTTTATTGAGCGTCATTTATATGATATATAGTAGACATACTGCACATTACAACGATATAAAACACCACCAAATTAACGTCTCGTGTGACGATATTCACAAAATCATAATCACTGACGCACGTTGAACATCGCTATTTCTTCATGTGTTTTATCTGCTGGATTCTGTATTCGGCAAAAGAAAGCATAAAATTAACAATAACCGTAAAAGCATTGCATAATTTTCGACATTAAATGTGAAGGTAATGTTGCACACATGACATTGTCATCATTGGCCATTACATTTTCCGTATAATTCGTGGAATTCATTATATCAAATTAAATTTCGATTAATTTGCTAAATATTTGATGCACATGCCACCCACGCCCAAAATTTCAAAGAGAACGGGAAACATTAAAGGTTATTATAATTACATACGGTGGATGAAGCTAAAACAGCCGCAATCGTGCATAAATTAACACACATTCACACGCGTGTTTGCACAGACCGCCATTATTATCACATATAAAATTATAATTCTCTTAATGATGTGACATACATTGAAAAGCCATGAAATTAACAACGAAAAAGCAACACATATCTGATGTTTGTCTGTTATCATGAATCAAAGCGGAGCAATGAACGTATCATATGTATATGTAAATAATAATATTTACATGCATACATACACTACAATTATATCATTATGTTTGTGCGGATGAAAATCTCTTAAAAACCTGCCACGAATTATTTGTTATTTCCATTTTATTTGTTTGTTTCATGTACTAAACAGTGGTAGAAGTGTTGCCATGTCATGCGTTGAACGCTATACAGTACACACAATCGATCATATCGATTGGAATTTCTGATGAATTGCCCGGACAAAGGTATTATTATTCGATGTTAACGTACACTACTTAGACCGCATACAACCAGCGCTTCCAAAAATTTACCACCATTACAATTCAGCCGCAAACTGTTATATGCCACTCACGTCCCAATTTTTCTCACCATCCTCGGCATTAATATATATATATATTGATGGCAGTGGCGTTCAGGTTTTATTACTCTTGTTGTTGTTGTCTGTCTGTTTGTATGTTAGTGTGTGTAGGTTTTTCCCTTCAAGCGAATCGAATTTATATTTTATTTCGTTTTGTGTGTCTCATACATTGTGAATCACATTTTTATTTATATTACATTTTAATAATCTTTTGATGGTCTTCTTTTTTCTTTATTTTATTTATTTCTTGATTCATTTTTGATATATCTACATCTACATGTAGGATATGTTACACAAGAGCACAAGTTACCGCTCTACTCAGTTGTTAAAATGGTAAATCATTATATAAAATGGAATTTCTCGATTGCCACAACATACCATATACCATACGCTCTAATAATATCTAGCTTTTTCTGATGAAATTGCGTGTCTCACCAATTTACGCTTATTTGATTTTCCAGAGCGCGTTTCCTATTTGTCTTTGTATTATCAAAAGACATTATTATTTGTCCGGTGGTTATTTTTTTTCGTTACATCGAAGTAACCGAATAGACGATTTTAGTCAACGACAAACAACAGCCACTCAACAAACATCGTATTTATTGGTACTGTAAATCTTGTTTGGTCTTCGTTTTGCTTAACTACTATGCCAAGAATAACTTTAATACATGGATCTATTCATAGCAATTTATGCGGCTATTGCCCATCTTTTTGTCTATCTCATCTCGATTTTTGCCCCATCAATTTATTAGCTTGATCTTTTTCTTTGTTTTTCCTCTGACCACCACGATGGATAATAGAAATCAGCATTTGAATAAGTCTCTATTCAAATCCATCGGAATACGTCTCGGTATTGTGATTCTACAATCGAATTTCTATAAAACTAAATGTGGGAGTGAAAATCATGGTGAAAATTGAATATATAATACAGAATGATTTGAGATTAAATTTCGATAATTGGATGGTAGACACGCTAAATAATTCAACATTTATACGTATAAATGGTGAATTATTTATTCAAATTTCATTAATTAATAATTTGTGAACAATCTCATTTAAATTGTTATGTATAAAGTAACAAATTCAATACTGAATTTATCAGCACTGCAATATATTCGACGCGAACCATGTTTCTATATGAGTCGTAAGATCCAAAGATAAGTGGACTTGCGGAAAAATGAAGAACATTACAAAAAGTTACATCCTGTCTAATTAATTCTGTCGTATTTCCATACATTATGTATTGCTTCGTGTTGATATGGAAAGGGGTGGCAGAAATTGTGCACTTGGAAGATGCTAAGAGACTTTAATTTAGTATATTTTCGATAGCATCGCATCCTGAGCAAATGGTTAGTATATTAAATTCAGTTCAAGTGTGTTCTTATCACAATCGAGAGGCGCACGGTAAAACATAAGTTCAATTCACTGTGATATCAGCTTTCGTTTGTGTGCTGTGCTGCTCCTGTGCTTATGGATCAAGTGGCAATCATCAGAAATTCTTATGAAATATTTTGAGCTCACCATGAATTTCGTTTGGAAGTTTCACGAGCACTTTTTTTCTCTCTCGATTTTTTGCTGCTTTTGTTGTTGTTGCTTGTTCGTGGAAATGATGCCCACATACTTATACAATTCCAGCGAAAAGTATCATTTTCTTTAATCGGCTTCGCAACAAGCTGGTAGGTTGTGGCTATAAATATAATTTGTAGAAGAACCAATACGTGGCAATAAAGAAAAATAACGGAAAATTGAAAAATAAACATACCACGCCGTCTGAAGACAAAGATGGTTGATTTTGGTGCGGGAAAGGACAATTTTACAAAATAAAAAGTTGTTATTTCCATCGTGGTTCTTTTTTCTTTCATTCTCCCTTTTACCAAGCAATTAATCTGCTGCACCACTTAACTTCAAGAATGTGTGAGCGCAAATCCATTAAATTCCAAGACATTGGGCATGTAGAACTTTCTTTGTTTGATTTAAAAATAAATTTTATCTGTTTTTCCTGTAAACATTTCAGAAATTCACTACTTAAAAAAGTAAATATTTCAAGAGGTTTGCTCCCATTATTTGCGAGTAAAAGTGATGCTTGAGAGCACATGCACACACACAAACACTCAACGTGTCGACATTAGAAAAACCAAAGAACTCAAAAGCTCATTATACTGTGCACCGGGGTAAAGAGCAAAGAGTATTCCTGTGGAGAAGCATAACAACCACAATCGTTTCAAAGTGTAACAGTGGAGAAATGAAACGACAACGACGACCAACTTTTGAGTTCCTTCAATTAAACAAAATAGACACACAGTGAACGTGTGTGTGTGGGGCCCGTAAAACTAAAAGCGAAAAAATAAAAATAAAAATCAACAACAATAGATAATAAAGAAATGTAAATGTAAATTAATCGGCGGTCCACTGTTCATATTTACTTTTTCTGCATCATTTTTTGTTTTGTATTTGTCGTTCACCGTTTTAGTGTATTGGGCTTGAGTGTTGCTGTTGGTGGCAATACTTTTTGGATTGCTTGGAGTGAATGAATGCTCGAAGAACTGTGACCAAACACTCGACTTCAACTGTGTTCACATTGGCTTACAACGTCATCGACGAAATATATATCTTTCCATGAATAACTTGATATCTGTCGTTAATTTGTTTTCTCTTTCCAATATTCGCTCTTGGTCCAGCACCCTTTCATTAGTTGGTTTTGTGGTTTGGGTTTGTCTCTCGATTCGGTTGGAAAGCCGAATACGATTTTATTTATGGCAACATTTTTTTGCCCAAATCGAGCATGTAATTTAAACATTTAAGCTGTAAAAGGTTAGAATTAAAAGAATCTCAGTAGTTGAAATGACTTTTTCCAGCTACAAATCATTTTCATGATGCGGTCGATGCCGTAGGCCAGAGGGTCTATTTAAAGTTGTGTGTATCTTTTGGTAGGATTGTCCCTTGTCTTCAATGTCTTCACTCTAAACGTGTTTGTTTTTTTTTCAACATTTTTTTCAGGCTTTTGTTCGGTTTTTGTGTGCCTTTGAACACATGAGTAGATTCACTTAGCTCTAACAAAATTTTCAGCCTTTAATCCACATAATCTGATTCGTTTCCTTTGATTACATAAAAAATCAATTCAATATCGAATATTCGCAACGATGCACAAGTCCATACCATCATAGACTAATATTACATTGTCCCATTTTTTTTAAATGTATTTTCAGATTTTATCATTCGCTCATAACACATGCAAAAGGGACCCAAAAAGAAAAGTTCGTGCATTTTCGAAAGAATCAATATTTGAAGATAAGAACGTGGGTAGTAATTGAAAAGTGGCCAATATTTGATCTGTGGGGGTAGGAAAAATTCAACATTCTCGTACATCAATCGAGATTGATTAAAATACGCAACAAATACAAAACAAATCGCTGTTATTGGATTGGCGTCTGAAATCAGAATATTGAATGATTGATTGAAAAGCTCAGCATTCATCGGCTTAACAATTCACTGACACGACGAATTTATTTTCGAATAAAAACGTGAAAACACTTACGGTAAATACGGCTATGCGCTTTTATAGATAGGATGAGCGAACGTAAAAACGTCATTTCTCGGCTATAAATTTAAATAGATGTTGATTGGTTTTGAAGTTTCGATTTGTTTGAAATTAAATAGAAGCGCTAAAGTCTATGAATGCACCGAAAAGCAAAAAACTACGTGCACAAAGGCGATATCAACGGTATCAGATTAGAATTATCGCTTGTGGTATCAACAGATTGAGGCAGCAATTTCGTTGCCAAATCAAAACAGTCCACGTAGGCCCAAATCAATTTTATTTGGTCGATCCGTAACATCGAATACCAGTCGAGCTGAGAGTGAAAACAGCTCGAGCAAAATTCAAGCAACCGGAACCATGCGGGAGGCTTTTAGTGCCCAAAAAAGCCTTCCAACTGGTTCCCCCCAAACGCCACGCAAACTTACTGGACAACAGTCGCTCCATCAATTGGATGCACCGAAAACGAATACTTCGATAGCTGGGAGCTCGCCAAAAAAGGACAGCACAGATTCAATCGTCTCGTCCCTTCAATTTCAAAAATCAAAAAAGACAACGACTAAACTAGGTCACTCTCCCCATCATCATCGCAATTCATCGCCAAATACAAAGTACAGCTACAGTTCGGGTAGTCCTACATTAAAAACCGATTTGAAGACACATCTCGAACGAGGTACATTCGGTTTATGCCATTTTTTGTTTGTTCACAAAGTAGTTTTCAATAGCCAACATCTGTTGGCCCAAAAGAAAAAAAAATCTGAAATCAAATCTAGTATCGTGACCGTCTTTTTATTTGTTTAAATCAAAAATATTTCCATTCAACAAGAACATTCGTCGAATCGATTAAATAAAAACCAAAAAATAGAATTAAAAATCGAATTTTTTTTCGACAGGAGATAGCAGTTGCTTAAGTTTAACAACGACAACATCAGCTGTGGCGTCGTCATCTTCGACAGGAACACCACCAACAGTCTTTGCACAGCTTGCGGACACTACAGCTGACGGTATTGTATTAAATCTCTCATTTCAATTTCATCTTTGGACATGTTAATTCATTTTTGAATTCTGCACCCTTCAAGGATATTGTGTGACCAAACAGTGGAATGCACTATCCGAATTGAATTATAGATGCATGGACCATATTTTGTATTCAAATCGTTGACATGTTTGCATCGTTTGAAATTCCTAATTTAAGTTTAAAATTCAATTTGTTAACGTGGTTAAATAAAATTTCCTCTGAACATTCCATTTATTTATATGTTTGAAAATGATTTGATGAACAAAATGCACCGTTTTTTTTTCTCTTGAAAACTCATGTGCAGTGTTCAATCTATGTACTGTTCAATCTATGTACATAGTGGTCAACATAAACAATTTAAATCAATCTCTGGTTTTAGCTACTAATACATGTTTCGCATAATTGATTATTTCAAGAATAATGCTCAATGCATAATACATCATCGGTTGGGGTTACTATAAGTTTAAATCTGTTTATTGAAACACTTTATGTGTGATTAAAGAAGAAACCGTATTTGGTTTTTGTTTTCAGTCGCTTTAACGAAAATAACACCATTGACTGGCACTACGGCTGCATCAACGTCTTCAATCCATACCTTTCCAGGTGAATTAGAGGAATTGCAAAGTGTTTTGCATTTTCCCGAAGAGGTTGCACTTCGCATTACAGACGCTGAATACCAATTATTTTACCAAGTAAATATCGTAAACAAAACCATGTGCATATACATTGTACATATAATCATAAGCTTTAATTATTTTTCATGTTTGATGTTTAGGTACCACCAATAGAATACTTTAAACATGTGATATTAGAACTTCAAAATGAGAACGACGCATCACAAAAGTCGAAACAACAGCAACAGCCAACCGCATCGACATCCACCTCTTCCGCACCATCATCGACATCAGGTGGAACAACTGCCAACACAAAGTCAATACCTGATTTACAAAAGCGGTTCGAAGAGGTACACGATTTGCCACTAAATTAAATGAACTTTATGTCGTTATAGAAATTGCTGACAACTTATTGATTTATGCGCACATTTGTGACTTTGCACATGAAATGAGCGATAAATGTACATAAACACGAACTTCAGCAACCCGAAAATTTCATCGGAAAATGTCGACTGAAGTCATTATGACTTTTTCGATACTTCATAAGTGTCTTATTTTGTTGTTTGATGCAGCGTTAAAGTGCTATCGATAATTAAATTTCTAATTTCACATTTTTCATGAAATAATAAATTTAATTTCGTTAATGTTTTATGTACGCGTTGAATTCGTTTCATGTTCACACAAAAAATATATCTAATTTTTGTCAACTGAAAACCATTTAGAAGATTGCGTTAATTTGCTTTTAAAATAAGCGATGTGATAAATATTGATTCACGTATATATGCAGGTATGCTCATGGGTATCGTATTTGATAATGTCACAACCGACGCCACAAGAGCAGAAGGCAGCATTCGGTTGTTTACTACGCGCAGCACTATCATGTTGGAATATTGGCAATTTCAATGGTGCAATGGAAATCACAACCGGTCTGAGGTAAGTCAGCATACCACATAATTGCTCTCCTCTTTTGCTTTGTGCCATTTTGCATGGTTTCCCGTTCACTTTTATGCATAGCTATTTACATTTTACGCGCAAACATAAAGAATCTCAACAATATGAATACAACAACGACAACGACAACAAAAACGAGAGAAATCGCATTTTAATAATGAAATGAAGTGCTTCCTGTGCGATTTTTCCATTATATTCTTATGCTGATTATTCTTTGCTTCCGTTTTTGTTGTGTTTCCGCTTTGGTCTCATCTACCATAATTGAAAACTACTATAGACTATTACGACGTACAAATGCCAAATATATGACTAGACCTAGAGCAGGGGTTTCTTTCGGCCTCACAGTTGTTTTTAAATTGGTCCTGTAGGCCGGCGAAACTACTTGCTTTCGGTCTTATGCGCAACTTTAATCACTGGCACTTTGTAACCGTTCAAATGAATGTGTGCGTGTTCAATAAACTAACATCTAATTCGACATCAAACAAAAACAAAACATTCCACACTCATTGCCATCACTAGCATCATGTTGTCTTCGTTCTCGTGCCATCGATTTTTTTCTTGCTCTAATTAATTAAACGGATGAAATTAGCACATTGTATCCCATTATTTTATATGCGAGTATTTGTAAAAAGAGTTCAAAACCTTGGAATGAAAATTCATGTTCCCCCTCAGTTTGCATTTCAAGACGTATTATTATTAAATGATTAGATTTTATGGTGGAAAATAACTGAAGGCAAGAGATAAAATATAAAATAATGAAATTCTAGGAACTTAAAAAAAATGCCGCGTGCATATCATCAAGGACAACGGAAAACTGAAAAAAAAAAACGAAGTAATGCATTTTTTATGGCACAAAAACATGAGATAAAAAGTTACGGAAAACTGACTGAATTAGAGATAAATGTTTTCTGAACAGTGACCATGCGGTAGTGACGCTTGTGTTGAATATATTGGTAAATGTGGACGAAAAAAGTGTCTATGGGTTTTTTGCTGCAATTCATTTTTTCCCAAGCAATGTTTACTTTCGACCGATTTTTTGTTTGCCCCAGATTTCATTCTTCGATTGCATTTGAAACTTATATTATGTGGATTTTTTTTTCGTTCTTTTGTCAATACTTTAGATCGGTTCCATTGAAATTACAACTCAATACCTATACAGAAAAAGGGAAAATACCAGTTTTAGATTTTTTATCGGCTGCTCTTGAATCTGCTGAGTATGAACGTGCGCTCGCCAGAGGTTTGGTAAGTTGTTCACACTTTCAACAACTTTATACAAAGTGTTGTATCGTTTGTATGGCGATTTAATGTTAACTTGAACAATTTATTTTCGCTTAACAGAAAATGAACGACTGTCGTGTGATTCCATGCTATAAATTGTTTCTTAAAGATTTGAAAGAAATAATGTTGACGAAACCAATAAACTTTTCGCTAACTGCTATCAGTTATTGTAACGAGGCATCTGGCGACCGTTCACCAGACATTGATGTGGAACATATCAGCATTAAGCATCACCATCATTTTCCAGTTGGTAGCACTGTGGTTGAAGCTGTTCATCGTGGAGTACAAACTAACATTCGCACGGATGCACGAAGTTATTTCTGCAAAACGTGCACAACACGCGACACTGCTGGCAGTTGTAGCTCTATATTAAACTCACGATTAGTTAATGGCCAAGTGGTTAGTAATAAAACATTCAAATCACTTTTGTCTCTTTCAAACGATGACTAATTGTAGTAGAGAAAGTTTTTTTTAATTGATTCGTCAATAATAATAATAAAATGTTGTCGTTGTTTCTTTAAACAGTACATATCCGATTACAATGGAGACGATCATTATTTTACAAAGATTGGTTCGTCGGGCGTCTTAACCGCTGATCAAATTTTTAAAATTCAAGCTGTTATGGACCATATCGACTCTTGTCACCAACATCATCATACGCTTATGAAAAATGGTTCAAATAATTTAATCGATTATTTGCGATCGGCCTCATTAGGAAATCGACAAATGGCAGCCACGTCGACATATCATCCCGAATTAGAATTGGAAGAAGATTACGAAGTTGAAATTGGCAATTATAATCCCGTTCAACCGTTACTACACGATCACGGAGTTTGCGCGATTCCAATTTCAAATCCAGCAATTCGAATCGATCATCACATACTGCAAATTATGCATCACGGAACCACCGCTGTCATCTGGGAACCAGACGCAACCTCAGGCCGATCATGTTATGCATTTTTTCGGCTAGAGCGATCGTGCAGTTCGATTACATGGCAAAGACCATCATGGCATCGTTTGAAGTCTGAACAAGAATACGATTTGGCCATAAATCCGGAAGAATTAGTTTCGCCGAGACTTTTCCATCATCATCAAACAACCACAACAAACGAATTTGAACCACAAAATCCAACTATTGACGAAGGATTCCTTGATTTGACAATAGCCAAAGAAGTAACAATGGGCTCACGAAATCACGAATATGATGCTGAACTTTTGGCAGCCGGAAAACGCTTTGGATTAACTCACATTGAATGCTGTGTTACCATTCTCTATGGCAACAGTATTAACGATAATCGAATCATTTGTTTAATGTGTCCACCAATGTTGTGTCGTCTGTGGTATGTTGGCCTGAATTGGATCATTAAGGGAATCAAGAGACAACAACGATTGGCCGATCGTGCGATGCTGTGGCTGAAGGAAAAATATGTGCAATTATATTTTGAGGATCGTATGTGTGTAGAACCGTTTGCAAATGATGCTCTTAAATTATTTGGTGGACGTGATTGGACAACAATGCATACCACAACCACAACAAGCACAATCATACCAGAAACATCGGAACCAATCAAACGAGAAATGTCATTTAAATTCAAGAAAAAGCGATCCGTTGCCAACATTTTGGGACAATCAATTGGCGCCATAAATTCAACAAATGTAATAAGTTCAGAGCCTGATCACGATGACGGTCAATTTGATCGGCGACGAAATGAATCTAGCGATCAACTATTGCAAAAGGTGACCAATCTGCGATTCGGTGCAATCACATATGAAACACAGTTGGATTTTCTTGATTTCATAGCGCTATTCAAATCGTTTAGGTAATAGATTTTTAAACTATTTTGCTATTCGTTATACTAATGTTCAAAATAATATTCCAACGATAGTCTGCTGATGCGAAAGGATCTTCGGGATTTATTTGATCAGCTTGCAGTCACCCGAAAGTCACATAAAAAATTGAATGCGGAGAAAAGTCGAAGTGCGCCAGAGCTTTGCTGTTCTATCGCCCAAAGGAAAATCGGTAAGCCAACGAGATTTTATTAAAATAAATATTTGATGTAAATGAGCCTTTTTACTCCGTAAACACGTAGGTCTACTTACACGAAATAGTTCATTGGAGGCAGAAATTACGGATAAGCAGAGTGCTCAGAAGAAATTTTTTGATGGAATGTGCGCAGCTAGCATTGTTACAAATTGTGCTGGTATTGATACGTCAAATACACAAGTGATAACAATGTCAACGTTGAAAAAATTCCTCGAAACCCGACAAATGGAAGTTAAAACGGATGACGAGATTCGGGCGATTATCAGACGCCATGAACCAGATCCAACGTTGCGCATTGAAGATTGCTTGAGCTTTGAAGGTTTTGCGCGCTATTTGATGGACAAAGATAATTATGCATTCATCAACGAACGTATAATTCAGTCAACATCAAACATGGATAGACCTTTATCGCAATACTATATTGCATCATCTCATAACACTTATCTAACAGGCCATCAACTGAAGGGCGAATCTTCTGCCGAATTGTACAGTCAAGTGCTGTTGACTGGATGTAGATGCGTCGAGCTTGATTGTTGGGACGGTGACGATGGCATTCCAGTCATTTATCATGGCCATACTTTTACAACGAAAATATCTTTTAAATCAGTGGTAGAAGCGATCAATAGATCTGCATTTGTTTCATCACCATATCCCGTAATTCTTTCCATTGAAAATCATTGTTCACTGCAACAACAGGCGCGCATGGCACATATTTTTATGACAACTTTTGGCGATAAATTGGTCAATAAATTCATCTTTGACACTGATTACTGCGATGAACCCATGCTACCATCACCGAATCAACTAAAAAATCGGATTTTAATCAAAAATAAAAAACTCATTGTCGAAGTACCGGCTCCAATAAGCAGTCAGCCTGGTAATCGTAGCAATCTACGACACCAAATGAGCCAGCCGGGGCGCACAAGTTCAATTATTTCGAATGTTAGCAGTGGATCAGTTACAGAAGATTTTAGCGACGATGAATATGATGACGATGATGATTATGATAATATTGATGGTAATTAAATTGTATACAATCTACTCAAAGAAGAAGGAAATAATAAAAAATGTTCTGAATTTTTTTTTTCCTTTTTAGAAAAAACGTTCCACACAATTTTTGGGTCGGTTGACGAGCGTTCATCCAGACATAGTCTGTCATCGTACTCAACACCAACACGACGCGTTGAAATTGATGACAAACCAAAGAAACGTAGCAGTCAAATATCAAGAGAACTTTCTGATCTTGTGAATTATGTGCAAGCAATCAAATTTCGTGGCCTGAATCCAATCAGCCCCCAAAATTCAGTACGAATGCAGCAACCAATGCCAACGAAATTAAATTCAAGCGGATCATTGGTAACGGTTGGAAGTATTTTAAAAACGAGCAGCATTTCGCCATGTGCTCCTCCAATCGGAAATAATCCATTGGCCGAAAATATGCAGTCAAATTCGCTGGATTCAAGTTCAGCACAGTCAGAGACTGAATCACAATCGGTGTCTACGACAGCTATAACGTCAGCAACACCAAGTGCAAGCGGAACATCACATCGAAAACTTCATCATGTGAATGTTAATCATCCATGCTATCAATGTTCATCGATCAATGAGGCTAGCGCAAAGAAACTGTGCCGCAAACATCCTTTGGCTCTAATTGCTCATACGGAATCACAATTAATGCGTACATATCCCGCTGGCTTACGAATTGATTCGTCCAATTTTAATCCGGTATTTTTCTGGGCATTCGGCATACAACTTGTTGCACTAAACTATCAAACCGATGACCTACCATTATCGATAAATACAGGCATGTTCGAAGAGAATGGCAGCTGTGGATATGTTCTGAAGCCAGGTAAAATTCTAATTTGATTTACCCAAGTACGAACACTCAATCAATATAAAAAATTTGAATTTTGTTCTCAGATGTTTTATGGGACCAATCACATTTGATGTATCGTCGATTTAATCCACTGGAGAAGGAATTTGATGGGCTTCATTCGTCTCAAATTGTTATAAATATTGTTTCCGGTCAGTTTGTGCAACAAACAAATTTGCAGGCCTCAACATATGTCGAAGTAGAGATGATTGGTATTCCAGTTGACTGTAGCAAGAAGAAAACGCGCGTGATCAGAAGAAATGCTCTAAATCCCATTTGGAATGATACATTTTTCTTCAAAGTAATGTTTCATGACTTAGCCTTTTTAAAATTTAGTGTTTTCGATAATGATACGAATCATATGGTATCTCAACGGGTGATACCATTAAAGTGTCTTAGACCGGGTAAGTGTCTATCAAATTGCATATCAAAATTATGCTTTGAATTAATATTAAAAATGATTGTAACTATTATTCCAGGTTATCGGCACGTTCGGCTTCGTTCACCAAACAATCAACCATTGAGCATGGCAGCTCTTTTTGTATACTCTCGCGTCGAAGAGGAAAGCCTAGAGCGTACGTCAGACGAAACCGATGAGTTCTGCAGCGGCATCAGTGGCTATAATAAAATTGACAATACACACACATCGACAGATATAACGAAAAGTGGTGAGAGCAGAGACGTGCTTAATTTGGGCACACCCACGAAAGATGCTCAGAAAATCGCTCCAGCCACAATGGTTAGTGCAAATATACCGCTCAGGCGGCGAATGTTTTTTGTTATGGTTTATGGGGTAGTCACTGGGGAGCCATTTACAATTCTGCGTGCCACACAAGAGAGCACCACTCGCGAACTAATCGCTCAAGCACTGCAGAAAAGCAATCGCACCGGACAAAATGTCAACGATTACATATTAGTTGCCGAAGTTGGACGTGGATGGAAGAAAAAAGATCGTGATCTTCCAGCTACGCAGCGTGTGCTTGATATGCATGAGAAACCATTGCAGGCACAGGCAATGTGGCAAGGCGAAGGTAGATTCATATTTAAGAAAATCGGTAATGACCCGAGCAGCCGAGCTTGGTTGACTTCAATCAGAAGTGTGTCTGAAAGGCGAGCAATGTTCACAAGTGGCGAAGAGAATACATCGGGTGCATCGAATGAGGCGTCCACTTCATGGGATGATGATGACACATTTTTAGTATGTGTATACAATGTATCGCCGGACATTCCATATGCAATTCTTAAAGCACCGATCAATGCAACTGCTCAAGATGTGTTAGCCCAGTCGTTATTGAAAGCACGACGCATGGAAGATCCAAACTCTTTTGTACTCATTGAAGAATTGGAATATGGATCCACCGGCACGGGAGGCAGTGGCAGTAATACTCAACAACGTCCATTGGCCAGCGATGAAATTATTTTCTCAACACAGGCAAATTGGAAAACCATTGGCCGATTCATTTTGCAAGAAAAATCTCAAGTGACACCGTCAATGCGTCGACATCGGTTGGCTATCGATAAAATAAGTCGTGGTTTCAGCATAAGTCGTGCAGCCGTATTGAGTTCAACGTCAAAAAATCCCATTCAACCAGCTCTAAGTGATCCAACGACTTCAAGGGTAAAACGTACCGATTGCTCATCGGCACCATCAACAAGCACCGGACATATGCTGGGCAGTGGAATTTTTCGTGCAAAAGGCAATTCAGATAAGGAAACAACCAGTTGCAGTCCACGTCGTCAAAAACATCGCGAAGTGCACTCCGAAGGTGAGGCCCTTAGCGAAGACGAAACACACGAACGAGATTTAATGTCAACGGTGTATCGATTAAAGAAAATGTCCATAAAAAAACTGAAAGCATGGAAATCCTGAGTGTTATTTAACCGTGGTCATTAGACTAAAATAAACCACATTAATGCAAATTACAATCAATAAAAGCAGTAATAATATGTCATCAAATAAAACCAATCCTCTGGCTGTCATAGAAAAATGAAACAAATATCTAAATAAATTAAAATCCCATAAATATCTAAATGTAAAGAGTATGCTCTACATCATCACATACACAATACTGGTTCAGAGCTCCTCCTTTTAATACGTATCCAATGAATGAGAATGCGGTGGCTATCAAATGAATTTCAATCATTTCAGGGAATCTGATAAAATCACTCAGTTTTATAAACCAACATAAAGCCAAATTTATTAAAACTGATTGAACTCACATACACTTATAGAATAACCACACAAAACATATTCACACGCTAAAGTACATAAGACATTTTCTATTGTTTGTGTGATTGCTAAAAATAGAATTGCTACAATTGCATGTCAGTGATGATGCGTATTTTACGTAACTCTTCTACATAGAGAACATGTGACATTTTAAACCCCAATTTAAATTATAAACATATAAATAATTAAAAAAATAAATATATATCAACCGTTATCGTCATCATCATTACAAACTATACACATATCGCAGAGGCGAATTTGTGGTTTTTTTAATGCAAAAGTTTTTATCTTATAGAAAATCCTTCATTTTACGTGAAAAGTCTAGTAGTCAAATAAATGAAATCTCATTCGAAACGAGAGAAAGATATAAAAAAAACCTATACAAGCATTAATTATAGTAGAGAACAAGCTTTAAACATTTATGCGAGGAAATTTTCAAGAGTGTTATGCTGCATTTCGGTCGTCTTTGTTGTTGTATATGATACCGAAATATAAATTTAAACGAAATGGAATCCTATTGTTAAAATTAAAAGTTCTCAAGAGCTTTCGATTTAAATTAGAGAAATTTTCTTTGCTATTGCTGTTTCACATACACACTTATACACACACACACACTCTCTCACACACACATACATTATACTTTTAAAACGCTCCTTCTCAACGGTTAGAACATGTTACTACATCTTACTTACAAGAAAGATCAACAACACATCACATTTAGGCCAACGCATAAATAAATACAATAAAATCACTAAAATGAAAACCATTTTTTTAAATCAATAAAATATTTCAAGGTATACTTATCGAGATGTATCAAACTGAAGACAAAAATATAGACAAATGTTTAATAATACTTTTGCGATTGCAAAATGTTACATACAAAATACAATTTTGAAAATATTAAACTTGTGTCAAACCTAATGAATGGATATAAATTAAACGAAAGATGATAGAATAATTGAAAGTATCACACATTTTTAATGCAATGAACGAAAAAAATAAGTAAGCTAGAGCTCTTTGTCACTATCTTAAACATCAGTCACCACCATAATTCATTCACGTCACTTTTAATTTGTTATGTATCAGCTCCTCACATCATTCATCTATACTCTCTGACTTTTCGTGTAATTGAAAATTATGTAGCTAAATTTTATCACACATTTATCCTTCACACTTTTCGTACCATTCATGAAACAGTAAATAAGGTGTCACTCTATTGAAAGTGTTCATTTTAATGAGCCATTCGTGCGCTATAAAAAAATTGATTGATTGATACGTGAACCATCAATTTCAATTTTACTTGATACTTTCGAACGATATTTGCATTGAAAACGCTTCCTTTACATTTCTTCGTTTGGGAATAGCACAATCCAAATAAAGAGTTCAACTACATTTATTTTTCATACTTGAAAAATCGTTTCAAAACATATATTTCACATGTATTTTAAATAAAGATATTTTATTGAATAAATTTCTAGAAAACGAGCCCACAGACAGAAAAGAAAAAAAACCACAAAGTCAATCCAAAATCTGGAGTGAATAGAAATGGAATTATTCACTTGCTGAAAAATAACGAATAAAACAAAATAATATTTTTAAAACCAAATTTATTTATTATATTGCATATTTCTATGACGGAAACAAAGATCCATAAAAAGAAAACTGTGTAAAAGTCGGGGATTGTTCTTCTGAGGAAGAGGAACGGCGAGGAGCAGGTGAACACTCCTCAAGTGAAAAGAAAAATATTCTGCACTGGGAAAGATTTATTTTGTGATGATCAAAAAATCCTCATCCTTACCATTAATCCTCCTCAGACGAACAATCCACGGTAAAAATCGAAATAAATGAAGTTAGAGACAGTTTCGAAATATTTCTTAAACGTTAAACTCCCAAATTAACTGGCTCAAACACATTTTTTTATGTACTAAAACAAAACATTATTTTTGCATTTTTCTTGGATAATTTCTTCATTGGTTTCGCAAGTGTATGGCGTACGTTATGTAATTCAAATACTTTAAAATAATGCTGCGTTATTTTATATATGAATTTTGCCTTACACTTATAACTATTATTAGATGCTAACTATTATTAATATGGTATAAATCTGTACTTTCTCTTTCTTTCTTTTTGTTTATTTCAAAGAATCGGAATTGATTGGGCAAATGTTACATACTTTAAACCAAACACGAATAACATAAATGAAATAAAAAAACTCCTCTAAACAAACTGAAGAATAGTTCGGATAAAATTGTCCATTTATCGAATGCGAAGCTACAAAAAATTTTGTTATTTTATTTACATATTGTTTAGATCATTTTTATTTGTTACACTTTGATCAAAGTCAATACTTATATGAAAAATGAAAAGTCTTTTCTTTAAACTTCTATTTATTACACTATCTTAAGAACGACCAAGAGAGATAAGAATCTAAATTATAGAAAATAAATTAAAACTGAACATTATGACAAACAAAAAAACTCATGTATTCTGGCATTTTCTTTCTGCAAATACTATCGATGAGGTAAGTCGGGTTACGTAGAGTTTTCACCTGTTACCAGTTAATAAAAAAAAAAAACAAATATTTTATGTGAATTTGTAAAATAAATTTATTTCCACATTACGGTCGATACATTAACATATTGTTCAAAAATTCATAGTTTTAATATTCAATTAGACGGCGTCATTGGTAATCGAAGCGTCTCGAAAATTTGCTTCGTTTTCATAATCGCTCCGCTGTAAAGAGAAAAAAACATTTTATATGTATAAATAATCGATACGAGTTTTTGCCAAATGAACATTTCCAAAGTACCTATGCAAAGGATTATCGGTCTCTAGTTGGGTCATCAGGGATCGTAAGAACTGAATAAATAAGTCCAGACTGGTAAGTATGGAGCTTTGCTGGAGCCAAACACAAGGCAATGTGTTGATTATTATGTGTGATTTGTTCGCTGCATCCATCGGTGTACATATCTAAACGCGCAAAAAATACAAACCAATTAATTTGATTCATTATCATTTTGGATAACTGATTTCTTGCTTACCCGTATTGCTGACAGTAAGTATCGATTAAGCAAAGACGATATGGCTATTTCCCTTAGGGCACTATCAGAAAGTATTCCCTCCCAACTCAATAGATTTCGAAAGAGTTTCAACGCACTGCTGAATTGCCGTTGGAAAAATGATGTTTTTGCTTCTTGTAACCTGAAAATGATTAATAATCGAATGTTAAAAATATTATTTATTCAATTCGCGAGACAAAATGTAATACTCACTGCTTCGGAAATATCGGTATGAATACATCGTTCTCAAGTGATACTTTCATTCTATCCAAAATTATTGTAAATAAATTTCGCATATATTTGGACGTTGGCTTTAGTGACGGATAACAGTCAATCAATCGTTTTATTAAAGTAACTAAACGGAGTGTTTGCGTAGAAGATAGCGGATCCCAAGCCTTTTCAATGAATTCTAGAAAAAATAACAAACATGAATTGGTTGTTTTCTTTTAAAAAAACGTCAATGTGTTACCGGTTATTTTTGGTAGAGCTATTTTCTCCATTAATGTTGGCACCAATCGAATATCTGGATCATCAAACAACTGAGCTACTGTTTCGTTTGGTTTAAATCCGTACTTCATAACGGTCTCATACCTAAGGGGAGAATCACAAAAGAAAAGAATCGAATTAATTTAAAATAATCGAAAAATAATCAATAAAAATGTGAAATAATTCTGAACGGTCTCATACCACTCCATTTTTTCCAAATCTTTACAATCATTCTCCAGTGGATTCCAAGTCAACAGTTGTAATCTCAACATCGGACCAATGATCTGAAATGTAAGATTGATTCATGAGGTTACACATAACCATAAATTGTAACATTCAATGGTATACCTTCGGTAAGCAAAGACTGAAATAAGTATCTTTGTAAGAATCAAGATCGCGATTGCGCCAATCCTCAAAGTGCTTCAAAATTGTTCCTAAATCAGAGTAATCATCTGTGACATCTTCGAACACCAGTGTTGCCTCAGCACTTATTTGTTCTGAAAATCCATTGTTCCATATTATTATATTGTTCACAAAAGATTTTAAAATAAAAAAAATCTATACTCACTCAATTGGTTCTTATAAAAAGTGCTCTCATGATCAGGAATTTCGTCATCACTAGACATACCATCGAGATGGTCATTTGGAGTCTCTTTGCGTTCACGATCTAAATAGATGAATTTAATTGTTATTTTTGTATATGTCATATGTCAATGAATTACTTACCTCTTCGTCGTCGAGTTCTTCTCCCTTCTCTCTCAGCAGTGCGTTGCACTCTTTGTTCTTCTTCCTTTCGAGCTGCACTATTCATTGATGCCAAATTAGTGGGCTCTGTGAAACATTGACAAATTGTTTGTCTTAAATGTATATCATTTGTTCGAATCATTCTATACTTACTTTGTGTCTGGGTTACTTCTCTGGCTTGGTCGCGAACATCTTGACGTCGACGTTCAATAAGAAAATTTGAATATTTCACCACAGCAGCAACATGTTTTCGCTCCAATTCATTTATTTTGGGAAGTTTTTCATCAAAACATTCAATCAGATCCAGTACATAGCCTTTGAGCTCTTGATAGAATCGATATTTTGATGCAACAATCGGTGCATTTTGCTCACATTCCAGTTCTTCTAATGCGATTGCATTCATATCGTTGGTGATTTTTTGGATTTGATTCAAATGCGTGTTATTCAACTCTTTTACTTGTTTTAGTCGCTCTTTAACCAAGTCGCGAATTTCGTTGGGCATTCGAGGGCCCGATTTTTTTTCTGACTTTTGATTTGTTTTGATGGATTGCGATTTCTGAATATTTGAATTTGCATAAGCTTTCTCCAATAAATTTCTAGTTGAAACTTGCGCAACTACACCGGCAGATGAATCATTTGAACCATCCCTTATTATGAAATGTGAATACGCCTCTTGCTGTGCATTTATTAACTGCGAACCACTTATGGCCTTCCGAATTTGCTGACTCTCCCATTCATGCATGTCCAAATCAGAATCCTCATCAGAACCTATAAAAAAACAATAAGATTATTGTTATGTTCAGCGGTAAAGAGAAAGTAAATTACCTTGTCCTTGAACCGAATAGAATTTTTCACGTCTCTCTTCCAACTCTTTTTGCCCAGTGATAGCCGACATGTCGACTCGCTCATCGTCTGATGCATCATCTTCGGCTTCTTCACGTATTAGACGGCCTTTCTTATTGTCAACCGGTTTATTCTCTTCAACCGGTACGAAATCACCTGAAATAAATCCCAATTAGTTATTAATCATAAATTCAAAACATCCATTTAGATTTTTCTTGTCTAATTTACCTAATTCACGCGCTTTTTGTCTCTTTTTACGCGCCTCATGAATCATTCGTGCATCCGGAATGGCACCACTCTCAAGTAAAGCCTTAAAACTGTCTGGCTGTCTGAAACGGTGTTCATTTGTCGTATCCGAATCATCTTCAGATGACATATCATCACGTCCCGCACAAAGAGCTGCTCGACCATTCAACACAAGACCTGTTTCATTTTCCGTCTTTTTAACCACAAGCTGTTTTAGAGAATAGACATTTGAAAAAGGAAACAAATTAAATTCAATGAATATGTCATGCTTGAAATGGAATCATTGCAATGCAATTATAGCGAAAAATCAACGAAAAATATATGTATTTTGTTGGTTTCGTTCATTTTTCGCTCCATAGTAATTTCAATCGAAATATCAGATTTTTCATATTAAATTGTTTAAATTTAAAATGCAAGGGAATTTTTTTTTTACTAAAAAAAAAACAGAGTATTATTAGATGTCGTTTTGTTTTAGGACCATAACCTTTGCCGTATAAAATGATTTAAATTAAATTGGGTGTGTGAAAGAATTTTCATGATTATTTTTTTTTGTGACGTAAAAACGACGTTCATTAATTTTTTTTGGTTTGCGTTTTATGTTACAAAAGAAATTGATAAATAATAACCTTACCACAAAGTCGTCAGTGCGTATTTCAGTATGTATGCTAGAATTGGAAATTTGTGATGATTTTGACCGTTTTTTATTGGCCAAATCATCGTTGCCATCGTCCATATTGGACGTAGCTCTTTCATATGACGTTGCCCGAACAACGTCATATGCATTTGTTTTGTTGTTGAAACCGTTGTTGGTTTTGCCATAATTGTCATGCGACGTGAATTCATCGGCCACTGAGGTTGATGAATCTTTTTCTCGATGTTTTTTCCTGCGCCGCTCTTTGTCTAGCATCTTCATAACCTTTTTTGATTGAGATGATTTTTTCACCTGAAACACTTCAGTTTCTTCCTCTATTGATTAAAAAAAAAAGAAATTTAATTGAGTATCATAATAATGAAGTGTAATTTGATTTGTTTGGGATCATTTTAAACTCACCTTCATCATGGCCGAAACTTAGTAGTGATGATTTTTTACTACTTGTCTTCTTATCGTCTTTCGACTTTTTGTCATGTTTACGCGAATCACTTATGCAAGGTGGAGGAGGTGTTGTCACTCTACTGTCCACATCCATTTTTGAACAGTCTTCACCATTCTTTCGACCGCTATTTTCATTTTCCAAATTTTCACTGTGGTCATCATCGTCAGCAGCACTAAACACTCGACGATTTACAACCGGTTTCTTAGGACGTCGAAACAAGGACATTTTATTCTCTTGTTAAGTAATTATTTTAAAAAAATGAATTTATAAATCACTTCGATTATAATCGTTTAAAACAAACTCGGCCCAATCAGTTTTAATATTGAGTAATTCTTGTGTCTGTAATTATTATCGTTTTGTTTCACTTTTCAATAATACTGGCATAGTTATTATTATTATTGTTGTTGTTATTGTTTGAAAAAAGGGCACTGCAGATATTAGATTTTGCATCAATTTACCTCAATGCATTAGCTACGAAAAATAAATTCCATCTACTTTACACATTATTCTGACGTTTGACAGTTCGCTTAATTCGCTGCATGGTATGGCGTATGAGAACAAAATGTATGCGTCTAATGTCAATGTTAATGAATTGTGGCAGAAAAACGAAAGTTATGTACTCTATGTGGAGACGCCCTTTTATTCCACATTGAAATTAATTCGTAACGATTTTTTTTTATACATTTCAACTTTGAAAGATGTAAGGCTTTGATCATTTTCGTGTCATTTAAAAATATTGATTCCACATTCCATTTACAACATTATATGTGAATAAAAATGTAATGAAATTTTTTTAAACAAAAAATATTCATTATTTTTAGGTACAAGTTTACCAAAATAAACGTACAAAATATGTGTAGAATATAGATTCTTTATTAAAAAAAAAAAACAATTATCTAAAAAAATAATTTGAATTATTTTTTTTATAAAATATCACCCACTTTAATAAAATTTACTTTGTTTCTTTTGCAATAATTTTGGCTTGCTTTCCACGGGCCATTTCGACACTTTCATAGCCGTTTGCTGCAAGTAAATTCGACAGCTCTTTTTTTATTTTTTGAATGACAGGTGGTCCATGATAAATAAGCGATGTATAAATTTGAACTGCACTTGCTCCGGCAACAATTTTATCGAATGCATCTTGTCCGTTGAAAATACCACCAATGCCAATTATTGGCACTTGTCCCTTTGTCGCTGTGTAAATTTTTGCAATCATTTTTGTAGAACGTGAGCCCAACGGTGCACCACTCAAACCGCCCGTTTCGGATTTATCTTTGCTTTTTAATGATTCGCTTCTCTCAATGGTTGTGTTTGAAATCAATAATCCATCTACGCGACATTCTTTCTTTGAAATAACCGAAACAATGTCTTGGACATCACTATCGGTCAGATCTGGTGCAACTTTCAATAAAATTGGTGGTCGTTTCGCTTGGTCCAACTTATTTCTAGCTTCTATGACTTTTCTCAACAACAATTGTAGATTTTCTGCTTGTTGCAAGTTCCTTAATCCAGCCGTATTCGGACTACTGATATTTACAACAAAATAATCAGCAACTGAAGCAAACTTATCAATTCCTTTGACATAATCATCATGCGCTATTTCGGTTGTTTTATTTTTACCCAAATTTACACCGAGTACGATTTCTGCATTCGACTTCTTCAGTTTTAATAGACGCTCTAGAACAGCATCATGACCGTCACTATTGAAGCCATATCTGGAAGGGAAAAAAATATTACTGTGTGAATGAAGACTTGAATTTGAATAATGTTTAGGCGGCATACCGATTTATAATCGCTTTATCCTCAATTAATCGAAATACACGTGGCTTGTCGTTACCAGGTTGCGGTTCAGGCGTAACAGAACCAATTTCCACGAATCCAAAACCACTTTGACTCAAACCATCGACAGCTTCACCATGTTTGTCGAAACCAGCCGCAATTCCCAGGGGATTTGACAATGAAAAATCCAACAATTTGGTTTTCTATAGAAAATATGAATTGAAAAAATGTTCGTTCCACAGAAATCTTTTGTTTATTTTAAATTCATACCAAATTCTCCGAGTCCGGTTGATGTTGTCGTGGAAATAATTTATACTTAAAACCGAGCACAGCAAGACGATGACAGTATTCGGGTGGACAAAGTTGTACAATTGGCATCAAGAATTTGTCGTAAAATTTGTCTTCGTTACGATAAACACCGATGCCAAAAAATGCACCAACACCAACAGTTGTCACGATAGCGGTTGACTTTAGTTTATACTGAAATATAAACAAATCGTCATAATAATAATCGCATTCGTAAAGAAGCCTTCATCAATCGGAGACATAAGCAAGACAGTTTTAGTGCGCAGTTTGAATTGTATACAATAAGTTTAAGCATATGCATTTGTACTTTTTAATATTTCATTAATACACATGCTTTGCTTCACTCGATTTCAACCTAGGGGCTTAATTCGAATCCCAAATAGAAGGATTTTTGTGAATTCCTATGAATTTATGGGTCTGAGAATTTTTGGAATAAGTGTGAAACTCGGTGAATTTCAGTGAATTTGTATGAATTGTACATGAAAATCAAAGATGGCGGCTTATTAGCACGCCTGAACTGTCAAAATTATACATAATGAATTTCTGTGAATTAAGCCCCTAGATTTCAACACTTTTCAACGCGCAACAATAACAATTAAGAAAATCAATCGAGAAAACGGAACATGTTTGGTAATATTCCAATTATATCGTTATTATGTACATTGGGTTCATTCTGTATTTTGTTTATTTCAGATTAAATTTGTCGATTATGGCTACAAAGTCATTATGGACTTGGATGGTTTGTATCCGGCAACACGATTCGGTGACATTCCAATTTTAGTAAATCACGTGTATGTGCCAAAACTAGTTTCTGGCGCCGAAAATGGTAAATGGCATCAAATTGTCTTGAATGAATTCAGATCACGATTGATCAACGAGATGTGCGAGGTTCGCATTGAAGGCAACTATCAAATCAACAACATTTTACCATGCTCAATTGAGCCGGACATGCTTCCATGTGACATTTACAAATGGATTTTGAAAAAGAAACTTGGTTATATTCCAAACACACCCGGTGCCGGTCTAAATGACGACGGTGAATTTTTATACGTTTGATGACGAACACTTATATTATGTATGTTTGAACTAATACTGTACTCACAGCTAATGTTAGTTTTTGTCTCATTTTTGTCCAAAAAAAGTATTCAAAAAGTATGAATAAACAAGACTGTGTAAACTGTATTAATTACAATATCACTTTAATTTGTTGGTTATGTTGAGTATTTAATTCTTATTCACTTATTAATATTACTGGCATAGTTATTATTATTGTTGTTTGAAAAAATGGCACTGCAGATATTAGATTTTGCATCAATTTACTTCAATGCATTAGCTACGAAAAATAAATTCCATCTACTTTACACATTATTCTGACGTTTGACAGTTCGCTTAATTTGCTGCATGGTATGGCGTATGAGAACAAAATGTATGCGTCTAATGTCAATGTTAATGAATTGTGGCAAAAAAACGAAAGTTACTCTAGGTGGAGACGCGCCCATTTATTCCACATTGAAACTAATTCGTAACGATTTTTTTTATTTCATTCGTAACGAAATTTCAACTAAAAATATTGATTCCAAATTCCATTTACAACATTATATGAATGGCTGAGAAAAATCATGACTCAAATACTATGCACATAGAAGATAGAAACTTGAATAATGCTTTGCGTACAACGAATCGAAAAATTTGATCACGCACGCAAGAGTGAAACAATTCAACAGTCCACATGCACCTTTTTCAAGATTCTGTCTTTAATATTTTTTGAACAAGTTTCATTGTTGTGTGCTTCTTGATGGCGCTATATTTTTTTTACTGTTGTGTGCAATATACTCAGGCTACGAGAGTTTCATATAAACTCTCCTTGTAATAGCCAAATATTAACGCCTATCGATTCAATCACGATTGGTATTCGCTTGCTATTCAATAGGTATCACATGGCAAGTTTATATGAAACTCTCGGAGACTCGGTATAAAGTCTCCAAAAGTGAAAAAAAAAACAGATCGCGATTTTGATGTTAAGGAACGTTATTTTTTTTATTATGATTTCACCGGCACTCCCCCAAGTGACGCAATACCAAAAGAGATATACAAAATATGTGTAGAATATATATAACACTTTCATAACCGTTTGCTGCAAGTAAATTCGATAGCTCTTTTTTTATTTTTTGAACGACAGGTGGTCCATGATGAATAAGCGATGTATAAATTTGAATTGCACTTGCTCCGGCAACAATTTTATCGAATGCATCTTATCCGTTGAAAATACCACCAATGCCAATTATTGGCACTTGTCCCTTTGTCGCTGTGTAAATCTTTAAAATCATTTTTGTGGAACGTGAGCCCAACGGGATACCACTCAAACCGCCCGTTTCGGATTTATCTTCGCTTTTTTTAATAGAAACGAATCATTATTCTATCAATGGTTGTATTTGAAATCATTAATCCATCTACGCGACATTCTTTCTTTGAAATAACCGAAATAATGTCTTGGATATCACTATCGGTCAGATCCATACATCCGCAAGGGGGGTTATTTTTCCCAGCGCTCCTTTCGGATTTTTGGACTGGAAATGCATCTTTAGAAAATGGTCATTCTTTAGGTAATTTTTGACGCTCTATCGATTTGCATCATTAATTTTTTCATCCGACTCCCCTTCCCCATTTTGGGAGGCCTATGTTTATTTTTTTACCCCCAAAATATATATAGACTTCCATTTCAGTGTCAAGGTGTAAAACATATCTAGTGTACTTTTCAGTCCTCTATCGATTGACATCATGGGTTTTGACCCCCTCTCGTACCCCTCCCCCCAGAAGTGCTCCGGTTTGTCTCTTTGGACCCATATTTAAGGTCTCTTGAGTGGAAAAACACCCATGACCCTTCACCCATACCCGGGGTATTTTTCAGTGCTCTATCGATAGGCATATTTATAGACTCCCATTTGAGGGTCAAGGTCACGAAAAACTCCCATATACCCCCCTCAAACTCAAGGTATTTTTTTGATGCCCAATCGATTGGCATCATCAGTTTTGACCCCCTGACACCCCCTTACCCCCCTTTTGGTTCCTATACACCGACTCCGATTTAAGGTCATTGGGGGTGAAATACCCACGGGGTGTGTTCCTACACCCAAGGTAGTTTTCAGTGCTCTATCGATTGGCATCATTAGTTTTTTGACCCAAACCCCCTTAACCTATATTTAGTATTTATACCCTCCTCCATCTATACCCAAACTGGTTCTATACCCCAATTTAGCCTGATATATGAGACACCCTGTATATACCGAGGGTCGACTCAAATTTAGTTGACATTTCATTTATTTTCACCACACTGTTAGTTTGGTGAACACACTCTCACTCTATATTTGTAGACACACAAAAAAGTTCATCTAAGTAGATTAAGATTATTTCAATACATGACGCTATGTTCCGACGAACACTGTGTTGTAAGTAATTTGTAAATTTACACTGAATTTTCGTAGGCGCGATCAAAATAATATAAAAATGAACCCTTGCCCTCCGAATTGGGTCATTAAGGGCGGCCAAAACTATATGCCAATGGAAACTACATTGATATGCGTAACTTTCATTAAAAGAAACCTAAATGCCCAGTTGAGTCATAAGGGGTGAATATCCCATTGTGAAGTCACAATGAAATGGGGTGTTTTCACTTTTCGACCCGAATCGAAGGTACAAGCTAGAAGGAGCAAATTGTAGATCAAGAGAGATTTATAATGTATGGAGCCTATAAGTAATATTTCACGAGGAATCCGAATATGTAATTAATTTTGGGGTAAGATGGGGTATGGACCCAATTTAGGGGTATTTTTTGAAATTTTCTAGAATTTTGTAGGGGGTGATGGGTGGGGATGGGCATTGGCCTAAATGAAATGTGCGGATAAAATTAGTTATAGTTGGCTATACATTTGAATGCGATATGTTTACTGGTGAGTATTATTTACTCGCTCAATGGCGACTCAGAGACATGTCACACTCGCAATACAATGAGTTTTATGCAACTTACTAAGAGTGCTCGGTGCGATGCGGTAGCACTGATTGATCGGCATAAAACCTAGACTCTGAAGAGGCACTCTTTTTTTTATGAGAAAAATGCCTAAAAATGATTTTGAACACTGAAAGAATGTGTAGTGGGGGGTTTTTTGGCACAAGAAACTCGAATCTTACGTTAGTTTTAAGATTCAATCAATTTTTCACAGACTTTTCATACAAAAATCCACAAAAAAATTCATTTTTGTATGAAAGACATGCCTTTTTTGTACCGTAATGATGTGAGACTTTGAACAGGCTATTTTTTTGATTGACATTTCTTTAAACTTGGTGTGATTATTTATGTTGATAAGAAAATAATATTCACAAGTTTTCACGGTAATTTAAGTTACTGCAACCATATATAGACCATAATTTCAGTTTATTCCCAAAATTTCGGTTCCATGCGGAAATGTCAGCTTGCGTACGTAAGCCTCTTTATTTCTATTATGTTTTATTGTGAGTATGTTTACCATGTCATTGTGGTGAGTTTTTTGAATTTTACGTCAACTGAATTTGTCTGACCGCTCGGTTGATATGAATTGAAAAAATGTTCGTTCCACAGAAATCTTTTGTTTATTTTAAATTCATACCAAATTCTCCGAGTCCGGTTGTTGTTGTCGTGGAAATAATTTATACTTAAAACTGAGCACAGCAAGACGATGACAGTATTCGGGTGGACAAAGTTGTACAATTGGCATCAAGAATTTGTCGTAAAATTTGTCGATAAACACCGATGCCAAAAAATGCACCAACACCAACAGTTGTCACTATGGCGGTTGACTTTAGTTTATACTGAAATATAAACAAATCGTCATAATATGCAATACAACCATAAAAATGTCATTGTGCTTGGACCGTTAGAGTTTCAATTTTCAGCATTGTAATCGCATTCGTAAAGAAGCCTACAACAATCGGAGACATAAGCAAGACAGTTGTACTGCTCAGTTTGAATTGCATTAAATAAGTTTAAGCATATGCATTTTTACTTTTTAATATTTCGCGAAAATAATATTTGTAAGGCATATTAGAAAAATGTTGCATTTTCTTAGTAACCAGCAAATAAATGGCAAAAAAGTAGGCAATGCACGAATAAAAATGACTCAATCGCCAGACAATACGCCATTGGAAAATTATGTGATCGAAAAATCGGCTCGCGGCCGTTTAACTAAACAAGTGGTCGATGAATTTGTTCAAGCACAACGCAATCGAATTGATGAAATGAATGTAAGTTTTTAACTTATTTCTAAGTTTGGGTTCAATTTGTTTTATACATTTTTGGTGACATTCTTTTTAGGCGGCATTTTGGACGCTGGAAAATACGCAAAATATGAAGCACTCAATATTCATTAATGCCAAAATTGAGAATGTCGTATCGCCTCGGGAATTCTATATTGTTCAGGTGCATAGATAATAAATTTATCGTTGATTTTTCCTGCGTACTATTCATGATGTTTAATTGTTTAGGTCCATGATCTGAAGCATCGAAATGAATTCCAAAACGTACTGAATGAATGCTATGAAGACGACTTTGAACCGATTGACAAGCTTAGGGCCAAAGATCTATGTGTTACATTGTACAATGACAATTGGTGTCGAGCCGAGGTTATTGAAATTCTACCTGGCTCCATGTGCAAAAGACGATTCGTTATTTATCTTTTGGATTATGGCCACACAATTCGTACAAAGATGAGAAAATTGTTCATGTTAAAGCAACCACACCATTCGATTGCACCATTTGCCGTTAAATGTCATTTGTCTGTATTGAACGTTGAAGAAATTGAAATCTACGATGATTTAAAACATTCACTGACAGAAAAGTTTAAACGCATTTCGGAAACAACACCCCGAGTGGCACTCTATCTGAATCGACCAAATAAAGACAATCAAGATAGTTATGATGTGATGTTGCTGTCAGAGGCTTCATGCACTTCAGGCGCTTACTTAATTCATGAAGATTATGGTGCGTTTTCTAGCGCAAATATACAACTCGATCATGAAATATGTGAAAAATGGGTTGAAAATATTCAGCAGATCGTAACGGATTGCAGCCACTCTAGTGATACCAAGAATTGTCAAGTTTTCATAACTCACATCGTTGGCCCGACGGAAATTTACGTTCAATGCAAGAAAGCGCATGTATTTGCAAAAGAAATACGCAAAAAAATTGATGCATACATTAATTCCCATGAATATTACGAAAAGGTAACAGACTGGTCGATTGAAAACAATTGCTTTGTTCGATTACAAAATTGGAAGGTAAAAAGTAATTTAAAGCAATGGTACCGAGGCAAAATCGTAAAAGAAAATTTTGAAAAACGTACGTTCACTGTCTTTCTACGTGACTATGGCGTGTCAACAGAAGCAGACGACATTGACATGAGGCCGATGCCTTTGCAGTTTGCTGCACCCGAAAATGCTGTTCAGCGCTGTAGCCTGCATATTTCTGATGTCTGGCTTGAATCGAACGCAAAAACTTTGCGCAAAATTGTCGAAGAATATCAATATTTTGCCATTTCATGTAGCTCCAATACGGAATCGTGCCTAAATGTAGCACTGTGGGCAACTAACTCAGTGCCAAACATCAAAGAACTCGAAATATGGGATAATATTGGTTTGAGGCTTATTAGCCAATCGATTCAAGAATCGATGAAGCCATTCATCACCAAGACTCAATTTCGTTACGACAGATACAAATATCGTTCCGATGACAGCACCGATAGCACGGACAGCGATGAATCATACTCAGAAGAGTATGAACTTTTAAGAAATTTGATTGATGATCCCATCAAAAGCAGTCCTGCCGCCTCTACCGATAGCGCTGAAAATGACGAATGCGCTAGCGATGACATCGCATACGATCAAGAATCGATAGTCTACCGTTGGCAACCGCCAATTCCGGTGGATCGTCAAACATTTCATGGATTTGTAACACATGTCACTGGAAAGGGAATTATTTACATTCAAGAAGATTCGTTCATCGATATAGCATTGGAACTGAGCCAAGGAATTTCACGTTACATTCAAATAATACAAAAGAGCTACACAAAAAAACGAAATCATATTTTTAAAGAAAATGACACATGCTTTGCTTCACTCGATTTCAACACTTTTCAACGCGCTGTTATTAAGAAAATCAATCGAGAAAACGGAACGTGTTTGGTAAATAGTCCCATTATATCGTTATTATGTACACTGGGTTCATTCTGTATTTTGTTTATTTCAGATTAAATTTGTCGATTATGGCTACAAAGTCATTATGGACTTGGATGGTTTGTATCCGGCAACACGATTCGGTGACATTCCAATTTTAGTAAATCGCGTGTATGTGCCAAAACTAGTTCCTGGCGACGAAAATGGTAAATGGCATCAAATTGTTTTGAATGAATTCAGATCACGATTGATCAACGAGATGTGCGAGGTTCGCATTGAAGGCAATTATCAGATCAACAACATTTTACCATGCTCAATTGAGCCGGACACGCTTCCATGTGACATTTACAAATGGATTTTGAAAAAGAAACTTGGTTATATTCCAAACACACCCGGTGCCGGTCTAAATGACGACGGCGAATTTTTATACGTTTGATAACGAACATTTATATTATGTATGTTTGAACTAATACTGTACTCACAGCTAATGTTAGTTTTTGTCTCATTTTTGTCCAAAAAAATATTCGAAAAGTATGAATAAACAAGACTGTGTAAACTGTATTAATTACAATATCACTTTTATTTGTTGGTTATGTTGTGTCTGTAATTCTTATCGCATTGATTCACTTATCAATAATATTTGCAAAGTTATTATTTGACAATTCGCTAAATTCACTGAAGAATAAAAGTCTTCAAAAAACACGAGCGGAGACGCCCATACTATTTTCTATTTCGCATTGTGTATGAATTCAAACCAAAACAAACATACAAAATATATGTGATGAAAAGTGTAGGTGGACCGCGACAATTTTCAGTTTTTGCTCAGATCCGTAGGGCTCTCTGGTTTGGTCTGTGATAAGCCGGTGCAATGTGAATTCGGCACGTGCAAAAGCATCTCAATTATATGATGACATAACCCCTAATTTGATTGTTATTTTAGCTGTCAGCCTATCGGCTTTGAACGCAAATCCATTCGGTCAAAGCTGCAGAAGATAAGCCGAAACCGCTCCAAAAAATGTCATTTGAAGCTGACAACTTGTTTTTAATAATACACAAACACATATTGACACATTCAAATGCGATGTCTACACACAGCACATATCACGCTACGGCATCTCATGTCACTATTGAATAGCATCACATATACATTCACATGCGCAACAACAAGAAACCAAACATAAAGCAAGTAGTTGTGCAGTTTTTTCGTATGTAATAATACAAAACATTGCATACGTCACACGTTGTTGCCAATACATTTACTTCATTCTCAAGACTAGCGCATACGGAAGAAAGAAAGTATCAAAACGAAACGTCGAAAATAAAACATACGGTTGATATATTTTTTTTCTGTTGTTGTTCTACTAAAGTGTCTGCTCGAAATAAAAACAGCAGCTATGGCATTAGTATTGCGTTAGAGTTCAGTCGATGTGCACGCTTATTTCATTCGAAACAGAAAATAAATTACCCTCAATTCCAAAACAAATCGATAGAACGCCGTAGCGAACTTTGTGTTTTTCATTTTCAAGTGTTTGCGGGATTTTACATATTTTGTTAAAGCATTTCAGAATTAAACGAAGGAAATTAGAATAAAATATTTCAAATTAGTAAAAAGTGCTTTGCGTGTATATACGTCACCCAACAAATGATGTCAATCACATTTAATGGATACAACACGAAGTAAATGATGGTTAATAAATAATGGTTTGTATAGATTTTGTATCCATATTTTTTTTTCAAATTATATATCTGTTAGTTAAATATTTGAGATTTTTATTGAAGTGCGTTGAAAACTAACTTCTGGCATGAAAATAGTGAACTGCGTATGTACGACATTCAATGTTCAAGAGGTTTTTTTTTATTTACGTCAAAGGTTCAATGAATCCACTTCATTGGTGGAAAAGGGGGATTGACTCAAAAAAACTATGGCTGCTTTACCATTCGCATGATTCTTATGGCGCTATAGAACAATTGGTTGCTATGAATCACCATTTGTGCATCGATATTTTTTATGGTTTACTGCAAGTCTTTATATTATAGTATAACGAACTCATAAATATTATTGCATACACTCATACCGAATCGAAAATAACATGCAACACCTTTGATTGACAATGTAGCAAATCAAAATATAATTTCAGAAGATGAATTGAACCCTTCATTTTCGAAAGTTTTTAAATTAAACGTATCAACGAATTTTTGTGTGATTTTCAAAACTAAAGTGCGTGTCAGTAAGTTGATCTTGGTGTTTGATATATGTAATAATAGTTCACCATTCCATGCAGAAAAGCGAAGATTTAAAATTTTGATTTGATACGTTTGTGTTGTTGTTGCTATTCGTTACATGCATTGTGTGCAGGTATACTTTCAACGCCGCTGGTATGCTACACGCAACGAGGTCATAGACAAAGCCTTTGCAGTATTCTTTGTTTCGTTGTGCTTTTTCGCATATGATATACATGTTATGCTTGAGAATATCTGAATACACTGTATTAAATTTTCATTTCGAACAATATGCACATATATTCCCATGAAAATGAAAACATTAATATCCATTATGGAAAAATGGAAAACTAGATTCTGCACAAATTGAGTTCCATGAGAGTAAAATGTAGCAGATGACATTATTTATTGCGAGTTGGTTTAATTTAGACCATTTAAATATTGATTTTTTAATGAAAATTCTCCCATGGCATTGTTTGACGTGATGTTTTTGCACAATCTAGAAGCTATAGATAGCTTTTGAATATATTGCGTATCGATTTTTTTCCATTAAAATAGAACTACGTCCATACTGGTTCAAGTTTCACCTGAGATCGTGGAAAAAATAAACAGACTGTCATTCCATTGTGATAAAAGAGTCTTCTTTGGAGAATTTCATGTCATAAATTGTAACATATGTTTTCAGTCACATGTGCCCAATATTGATATCTCACGTGTGTGTGTATATCACATATGCCAAACATACTCTGTTCAAACTAATCAAACAAATGGTCTGATTTGGTTTTCTACCGAAAAACGTCTGCAATACAACGTAAACTATTCATTTAATACATACCAAAATGCTGTACTGCAAAGCTGTTTTCAATACACCACTAAACATGATCATACACATTACGGTAATGGCACGAACCGTGCCGATGAATTACATAGACATTCGCTGTAGAGTTCGGAGAACGCGTTGATCACTTTATTACACACATGATTGTAATAAAAATGTAATAAAGATTATTCAAATTATTCAAATAAAAGCGAACGTAATCCAACTGATGCACTCTACTGCTGTGGGCAGCAATCAAATTCTTTGCCGCTTGTAAATGCCATTGCACCCGAAAAAGAAAACAAAGACATAGAAGTTATTTAGCATACGCTCGTTATTCCGTCTCGATTGAAGCTACTAACTTCGGTCACATTTTTATTCATTCATGCATTCTCTTTTTTTCCTTCCTTTACATCCATCGTCATACTACTTCGTTGTTTTTATGTCGCCGCTCGTTCTCTACAGCAAATTATTATTATTATAGGTTTATTGCCTTTCGACCAGAGTGTGCGTCTCGAGTTTGACTATGTGCAAATTGTTTGACTTTATTTTGGATTGGGTTGGATTCGTAGCCGTATATTGTGAATTGACACATACTGTCAAAAATACAAGATAAAAAATAAAAACGAAGAAAGAACATGAACGGCGATGACTAAGCGGTTGCGTATTTCTCGATTTCAACGGGCAAATTTTAATTTATGTTGTATGGATTATGACAAAAAAACACACATATTTTGAGCGAATAAAATAAATGCGCATCACACACTCATGAAATTTTCATAGAAAGCGAATTTGTTCGTTAATTTTGATGGTATTTATAGAGTTCAAGTGACGTAAAGATGTGTGTGTAAAATTCAAAATATTTAATTCGTTATCCGAATGGCTTTACTGTAGAATGGCGATCAAACGTAGACGTGTGTGTGTGTATTTCACAAAAAATGACATGCATGTTTAGTCACGGTCTAATTTATGAATATGGTCTCTTCTAAGAAGGAACACATTATTCAGGTGTGTCAATCTCGTAAAGATTTTGATCAGATTTTGTATCGTTTTGCAATGAAACTTGCTTGCAATGAATGTGCATGTGCAAAAGGGGAATATTTCGGATTGCGTGTGTGCTTCTTTGGAGAAGTGTGATTCTCATATTCCACATGACTGATGACTTTTTAATCACTTAATAGATACATTTTACAAGTTGATTGCCCGGCCCCTCAGTTGACATGACAGCCTACAATAAGATGCTATAAAAGCAATCTATTTTACTTCTTCATAAAATTTATATCAAGGGTTATGCCTTGAGAAATTATCTCATTTAAACTAAATTACCATATTGGTGGTATTTATTGACTTTTGGCATTGTAAACTCCATGGTTGAGCTGCTAATTTTTTGTGTTTGTGTTCAATTCAACTGAAGGAAGGTTAAGTGTTCAATAAATCATAATATTCACTCAAAGTAGTTTCAAGCAGAGACGCAATTTTGCAAATAAGCTTCACTCGATCAAAGTGGAAATGTTTAACAAAGGTGATATCCATGCACACATAGAACGACGTAAGTGTTATAAAGTCACAGACCGGGTTTTATGACAATTGATTGCGAGCTTAGAGGGGATTAGGCACATAGTCACGTTTCAATTGTTTGTATAGTTCATTTAGAAGTTTCTATTCTGGTATACAAATAAACTGAAGTGTTGTCGACACACAATAACAATAAAAAAGGCGACCATATTCATCTGAGTGAATTATTCAATTGATAAACAAATTGGATTGTTTTTTTTATTTTAAATGACTGAATATCTATTATCTAATACTAAAATCTAAAACAATTTACACAATCAAGTGAAACAAAAAATTAAATAGACAAATTTTATTGCGTCGTAATCTAATTTATAACTTTTTACCATTTAGTGTAATTGAGGAAAAGAGAGCCACCTATTTTCTGATAGTGTTGCTTGAAAATTGATATTCACAAGGGGAAACGCACATCGGAGAGGAGAAACTATTCAAAATGCCATCGTTACGGCAGCGGGTTTCAACATACTTTCGTCAACTGAGTTTCATTGCTGAGCCGCATCGAGGTGTCGATTCACGATTTGCAAGCACGTTAAGTCCGCGAAATACACCAGACGATCGTTGTTTCATTGCAAAATATTTGGAGAGGTAATTATTTCTTATTTATTTTACATTGAACAATCTTTAAAATATTTATGAATTTGTACGAATTTAGTCAAACGGATGACCGCATTTCTAATGGCCACCACACTGAAATATTGCATGGTAAAGAGCCAACCGATTTACCGGATTTGAATCTTCGACCATACGACATTGGACCACACACTGTGACCGCATGTTGTACCGGACCGGTAATTCACTTTTCACCTTACCTTACAATAACTTTGATTCATATTAATTTACTTCATTTTCAGGATAAAGGATTAACTGCAGTAAAACGGTCACGTGCTCATCTTTCTCATCTCGGCGACGATATCGATTTTATCGATACATCAACTGAGGATCCGAACGAGCGTAAAAGTGTACCAAAACCAGAAACCAATTTTCGCCTTCGTTACCAACAACAGTTGAAACAAAAATCCACCACAATCAATCAACCCGATCAAAATGCAAACAAAGAGACAACATCACCATATGAAAATGGCGTACGCGCAAGAAAATTGTCCAAAGGCGAAACGGCAACAGACGAAACGACGAAAATTCATCAAATGACAACTGAATCGAAATCGGGAAATAAAGTTAATATTATTGTTCGTATGATTAGTACACAAACCGCACCAGATAATTTCAATAAAAATATTGAAATCCCCAAAGAAAACATTTCACCAAATGACAATACAACGTATGCGGGTAATCAACAAAATTCCATTAAACCAAATGATTTGATGACTAAAAGCACAATACTGAATTGTAATACTATAACGTCGCCGGACGAATATGCCGGAATTTCGAATTGGAAAATGGAAAATGAGAATGCTTTCGGATTGTCAGTGTCATTATACGAAAAGAATATGATTACAAAAGAACCGATTGGAAGTCCAATTGCGGACTGCTTTGGGATAGTTGCTCGTGGCAATTCGATTGCTATGGCATTGGCGGACGGCGTTAATTGGGGTTTGTGTTGATTTTCAATGAAATAAGTATGCATTTTTGTAAGAAATCACTTTGCTTTTTAGGTGAAGGTGCTTGTCTTGCTGCAAGATCAGCCGTCCAAGGTTCATTGGAATATTTAGACAAAGCTGTATTCGGACAAGTGTCAGGTTACATGGCGAAATCAACGCGAGAAATTTTCGTTAGTCTGTTGCGTAGTTTTGGCGCTGCTCATGCTTGCATTCTCGAAACGGGCGGAACTTTGACCACACTTACAGTGGCCGTGATTCTTCCGCTTGCCGATCCCAAATATACTGGAAAATCGATTGTTTGTTCGTGTAATGTGGGCGATAGTTTGGGCTATGTCTACAGTAAAGAACGAGGTGTTCGAGAATTCACACAAGGATCTCACGATGTAAACTCGATGCGTGACATGCGAGATGCTTTGGGATGCCTTGGGCCGGTTGATGAAAGTCAGAAACCTGAATTGGGTAATCTGACACTTTCGATGACCATTGTTGAAGCAAATGACATTATATTTCTCGTATCCGATGGTATATCCGACAACTGTGATCCGGTTGTTGGTAAATTTGCCGATGCCCTAACAAATGAAAATGACTTTCAGCGTCCTTTAAATGGCGATCAGACGTTACCACAGAATGAAAAACATAGACACATCGGACTGGCACCAAAACGTCAAAACAAAAGCACTTCCGCGATGCCTGGAACCGGGGCCGATTCATCGAAAAACTCCAATCTAAATTTCCAATTACAAAAATCCGAAACACAACCAATCCGTCCACTGCGTAGATCGAACAAAGAATCGTCAATTACATCTCCAACAGCTTCGAATCCCAAATCAAATCAAATGCCTTCCTCCCATACGCGACCGAAATTTTTGCGATCTCAAACGCTTATTGAACCATCGCGTAGCCGAATAAACAAAAACCCAACCATAAAATATCGATTATCACCAGCAGGTTTGCCCCTCATAACCGGACCTCAACGACACGCACTCACATTGTTACGCATAGAAGATTTATTGGAAAATGGTATTAATGGAAAACTACAGCCATGCGTTTCAGCACGAAAAGTGTGCAATATTTTAATCGAATTTGCCCGAATGATCACATCAGCCAAACGCAAAATGCTTGAACAACGTGAACTTTTTTACAAAGTAGCTACCGTCGTCGCACCACCAGATCCTGAAACAGGAACATCAAGCGGCGTCATAAAGAAGGAAATTGAAATGAATCGCGTTCAACAGAGAGTCGCCCGAAAACGTGTTATTGATGGACAAACCTTTTCACTCTTACCTGGTAAATATTCTTTTCGTCTGAATTAAAAAAAAAAAAAAAAATCATTTGGTGCCGAATTGATAAGACATCATTATTATAATTACAGGAAAACTCGACCACGCTACAGTGGTGGCTGCAAGGGTACCCTCCATTACGGAAGCGATTACTCGACGCGATGGAGCCTTTGTAGAAACCAACTTTTAGAACATTTGATTACCAAACCAATTTTCTACAAAACATACAAAAAAATCCACATCCGATAATTACCTTTTTATATTGAGATATTATTACGACTGTACTAATCGGTAGACGCATTGCTTGTCTTATAGCACACACAAAATACAACAATTGTGTTACCAGCCTTTAAAATGTTATCCATTCAGTCAGACTCTGAATGTTTGTTAAAACGTCGTAAACATTTTGAGATGACTGATTTGGATAATTTGCACTTCAATTGATGGTTAAATCGTATATATTTAATACACATGTGTTTGAATGCTTAAAATCCCCGTAAACATTAAATTTAAACATGCGAAATTCCTATTTTAACTAAAGTGAAAATTTATTTAAATTGAAAAAGGATTTGATCTGATATATAAACAAAGCTATTTTTGTCTATTCATAAAATATAACTGTGCAAAATACGTAAAAGACGACTTCACTTGTTTTGTTTTAAAACTTTTTTATTTGTTATACTTTGAATCTGATTTTTCTTTTCATTTCGACGACATAAATTTGCTGCGTATCAGTTTTTCTGGAAAAAAGTAATGATTACGTGCAAACCATGATAATTAATTTAATTTTTTATGTTTATCCTGTGTTATGATGGGAATAATTCTCATAGAAAATTATTTTCTTTTAGAGAACATTTTTGATTTATTTTAAGAAAACGCAATATAATTTGTTCAATATTATTTTGACACGAATTTAACATTCAAATAAAAGCTATATAAAAATCATTTTACGCTTGTTTTATCAATGAGAGAAGATTTACAATATTTTTTTATATTCGATTGAATTTGAGAACGCTGATGGGACTTACTATATTTTTAGTATCTTTCGAGATGTTGCAACTATGAAAATTAATGGTAATATCGAAATCCATATTCACGATTTCCTCCATATATAGACCTTTTAAGCAATGACCCTCGACACTTTGTTTCAGCTCGATCGTATACTTGAATCCAGGTCGAATTAATACTGGTTCTGTTAATGTAACAACCGTTTTATTTTTTGATCCAAGGTTTGCTTTCAATTGGGAGAGAATTCTAGATGAGCCACATGAATGTGAATTTTCAGTTATTGTTATTTCAGTTGGCAGATCACTTCTTAAATCATGATGCGCTTCGTCACGATAGACTTTTAGGGCTTGGCAATCGAATTCACCGAGAAGAACTGGTTCGTTTGTTGAGAATGTTATCGATTCAATCGGATTCATGTAAAAATATTCTTCGACCTCTTCATCTGCCAATCGATCACATTCAACTATCTTTACCTCGTCCCATTCGGCTTTGCGAAATTTTTCGTTGAAAAATTTTGGTTTAAAATCTTTGGATTGAATCATCTGAATAATTTCCTGTATGTCATTGATCGAAAATAGGTGTCCAAATGATGGAATCAGTTCAGTAAATTGTTCAATCGACATCGATCTGAAGCGAATTTCATAAAATAGATCACCGAGGTACGCTTGCAGCGATTCTTTGGTTATTTCGTTTTGTTTACTTAAAGCTTTGACCCACGATACACACGCCTTGAATACGTCCATTTCCGAGCACGACAAAAGATTTATTTTTAAAATGTGGCACAAAACTTTGGATGTACATTTCATAAAACCATCGGACTTAAAGACGTTTTCGGTATTGAGTGTAATAAAGTTTTCACAGATTTGTTTGAATTCTGAGAGATCAAGAACGATGGCAGCATGGTAAATATTGCAGACATCTTCAGAGATGGATGAATCTTTCAGAAATCTCAAGCAAACGTTTAGACATTCGCTTACATTGTACTTGTGGCCGAAATTCATTACCTCGCACAAGTTTTCCATTGTCAACTGAACTCGACTGAGGTAGAAAAATTGTAAAAACTCTTTGAATGCGGAGACGTGAATGTCGGTAATTTTCACGTCGCCCAATTCTTTCATCTTACCATAAAACATTGCTTTGAATACATTGCTTATGGCAGCCAATTGACATTTGTGCGCCGGAATTCGTTCGACTACATCGTCATCATTTGATTTCACTGCAAAAAACACATCGGCTGTCTCATCGTCCAAATAAAGTTTCTCGCCAATTGATTGAATCGCTTGATTTTCATATTCGTTGGTTGTGTTTGGGTCCTCGGACATTTTGGACTGCACGAGATCAAAAGAAAGTCTTTTTAGTTCAGCCATTATTATGCCAAGATAAATATACTGATTGAACATGAAAGGCCATTATATCTAATTACTATATGTCCAAATATATTTTTTACCCAAATGCTGAGTCAGCAATCTAGGTTAGATGAAAATGTTCGTTCGAAAAACTATATTTCTGACTTACATTTCTGCACAATAGATTTGAGCCAAGAAGACACCACGATATTGATAGACAATGAAAACAACAATGACGATGAATAAGACTAAGAACTAAATTCGAATTAAAATATTTTGCTGGAACTATCCAATTTGTTGTAACAAAAATACTTGTAACGATATCTTTGAGCGTTGTGAGATATTTGTCATGTGCAGTCGACTTTGACATTTACATTGACACCGTTTGCACACTGCTAGCAAAGGAATGAAATAGTTTAATGAATTCTTTTGAAATCTTTTGTTAACGGCCATTTTATTTTGAATTTTTGCATGTTTATAACTGATTGAGTGCTATGGTTTGCCTCGGTCTACTAATGCTGAAAACATTGTGAATTAAATTTTTTTAAAGATATAAATCAATAAAAAGGCGATATAATTTAAGTTAATAAATATTTTATTAATTTTTTCATTCTGATAATAAATTCTCAATACAATTTGGCCCAAAATGGCTCCCCTTTGCATTAATGCAACAATTGTTTCTTTTTTTAAATATTTTTTGAATATTTTATGATGTAGTGAATTCCTATTCGATGAGAGTATGACTGACAATTTCGGATTTGATTATCTAAAATGCGGCCGAATTTCAAAAATGTTAATCTTCAAAGCGATAAATTTGTGTTTTTTTTTTCTTCGTTATTTTGCTAGAATTTTCAGTATTGTAAGCAGGCTTTAACCTACAAAGCATAATAAATTTAGCCTAATATTCAGCAACTACTGAAGATATTGTGGTTTTTTCTTTCTTTGATATTTGGATATCGATCGCAGTAGAATTGTACAATGCAACTCAGCCAAAATCGCTTAACTAACATTATCAATTTACTATATTGTGATATTCTGACAGATATGTGTTAATTCTACTATTGATGACCGAACAAAATGAATAATATTTATCATGAGCCACTGTGTTCAAATGAAACCGAGGGCTAAAGATATATGTTATTCATACGTTTGGCCCTCCGTAATAATCCTTCGCACCTAACTAAATAAACAACAGACTTATCAGACAAATACTACGTGCTTTAAATTCATTCACAAGCTAGTTCGCAAATATTCTTCTCTATTTTCATTTTCTTTTTATTAAATACTTATTCAGAAGGAAGGTCTTCATTCTGTTAAAGTTTAACACACAGACGCAAGTTGGAATATGAGAGATTGGACTGTTCGTTAGTTAGTATCGGAAAGTGTCTACTACCTGTATTTTCTCAAATATTGTAAAATACTCATGCAGTTGATTATTCTGACAATCAAGTGGTCGTAAAAAATTGGTCACGTTGCATGAAAAATAACCCATCAGGTAAATGGAGTTTGCGGAAATGTGTAAAAAAATCTATCATTAAAGCGATAGGTAGTTTAGTTCTAGGCCAATTGATGTTGATTTATTTTCTGTAGCAAAATCGAAACGTATAAAAAGAGACAGAAGCTCAGTTTGTGCTTTAAAGTTCATAAAGAGTAAGGATTTGAGAAGGATTGGTTGTAAAGCTATTTCAGTTATATCAATGGTTGTTTCTTTCGATTGTGGTTTTATGTTGTGCTGTTTTTTTTTTATTAAGACTAGTGCATAAAAAGGGTCGAAGAGGTGCAAAACAGTAAACAAAAAAGGGTTCCCACTTACTTCGATTCGTATGTAATGTATCTGTGTGTATTTTTGTTTATCGAATTCAACATTCATCTATTTAAAACAATAGAGTTTTGGTTTTCTGCAATTCCATCATTTTGGACATTATTTTGTTTTAAATGAAAACACTTTAAATTCAAATTTTATTTTATTGTTATTTCAATAGGTGAATTTCATTTTAATCGTCAAATGATTTGACTCTAATCAGAGTTACGTTTCAACTAAAAAAATCTTCGGAGGAAAAATGCTACCTCCCAATGATGCACTTCCATTATCAATGATATATAATTTCTTGTATAATATTCGACCATATAGTTCTACAGAGTCGTTCTCATCAATTTCCACTATTGAAGGTCGGTTTCCACCTTCAGTGTTCAACTATTATTATTATTCGGACAATGATATTTGATTTTGGTTATTTGTACATAAGCATATCAATATTTTTTTTTTATTTAAACATAACAATAAATTTTAGTCAATCGCTGCCAAAAATGGTGAAGCAAAAGCCAAATGGCTCATTTTAAAAATTGGTTTAATAATATAGCTAATAATAATAATAATAATAATACGTATTTGTGTGTGCTTTATGTAACACTATCCTCGCTCGTTTATGAATACAATTTTCAAATATAGTAGGTAAATATTTGTATGAATGTAAAATTCTGCATCTCTGTTTCATCTCGTATATTTAATATTTATAAATTATTAGTAGAGTAGAGAATGATATAATTATGCGATATTATTATGTTTATATTTATATGCCAAGTGTTTATGATTGATGTTATGATTTCGTTACATTTCATTCGGATTGCTCTCTCTTAACTAAGTACACAATTTAAGTTTAACATTCTTCTTTAAATCATTTCTTGTTTATCGTCGTATTTTTAAACTGGATATTTCATACAATGTTTTGGTTTTTTTTAAAAATTCCATTATTTTTTTCTTGTTGTTGTTGGATTCGCTAAAATTTGTCCCAATAATCGTATATTAGTTTTTCGGTGTAGAAGTTTTTTTGCTTTCATTTTTGAACGCATCACTTGTGATTTCTTGTTCCGTTATTATCGAAAGATTTCCAAAATCGGCATTACCAAATTCATCATCTGAAACGAAATGAAATTGTGAATGTGATTGAATGCAACGAACAACCAGAGCAAATAAAATGATTCTACCTAAATCGGTTTGATATAAAATTCAAAAAGTTAGTACAAAAGTGTAGAATTATATGTTGTATGATCTTACATCCGACCTTTGATACCGAAGATGTGAGCATGTGAATAACAAATGGAATAAATATAAATTGAATGTTAATGAATGTTTAATCATTACAAATGGAATGTTATGAAATGATGGTTTTTTTTTTATTGATGTTTTAATTTTTGTCTATAATTACCAGACATATGGAGTAAATTTGAGTGTGGTGGGGGCGGTGGTCGATTGTCAATAATATTCATATTAGCGGCCACACCATAACTTGATGCAGATAAACCACTGCCCGCATTTGCAAGATTATTAGTGGCACCAGATGTTAAATCAGAAGATAAATCGTCTACACAAAATTAGCCAACACCAAGAAAAACATTTAGTTATTTATTCCCATGAAATGAGGTGTGCGTTTAGTTTATGGTTTTTACAGTGCGAATATCAAATATGTTATTTATCAATGTGTACAGTGAGAGTAAATATTAATTAATTATTATCGAATACATACTTGTATGCTGTTCATAGTGACCGTTTTGCTGCATTTTTGCCGGTGATTCGGTATTCAATTGTGACGCAGTTACAGATCTTGTTTGCAATGTCGAAGCCTTTGTTGTACCCGGTTCGTCGACCAATTGCCGTAATCTCATCAATTGTGCTTCTAACTGTCGATTGTGATCTTCAAGAATTTGCATACGCGCTTCAAGTCGTCCTTTATGTTGTCGCAATAATTTGGCTTCGGCCATTAAATCTTGACCACCACTTGCAATTCCGATTGCAGCCTGTGCATCGTCCGGTGTTGAAATGGGAGTTTGTTTCGAACGCAAACGTTCATATTCTGCTTGTAATGTAGCGTTTTCTTCTTCCAAATCTTGTATAATTGCTTCTAATTCTTCACGTTGATCGGCGTCAACGGCGGCCATAACTTGTAGTGGTGATTTTGGAGCACCGTTACTGCCATTGTTCGGAAGTGTTTGACAGTATTGGGCAATCAATTGATGTTCGTCATCACTGTCAGGTGTTGAATTATTTCGTGAACCATATTCAACTTGTGCTAAACGTGATGCGTACATTTCAAGCCGTGAATGCATATCGTTTTGTAAATTATGTGTTGTGTGTTGAGGACTTGGTGCTGGACTCTCGAGAGCGTCGCCTTCGAGAACACTTTGAACCGGCAAATATCCCAGACGTGAATGCTTCTTAAAGTATTTGCTACTCTTGAATTTATTCTTGAGTGCTCGCGTAAAATCACGCATATCCTCGGTAGAAGTAGTCTATGGAAATTAGAAAAAAATTGCATGAAAATTGAATTCAAGCTATTTATTACAAAATCTATGTTAGGATAAATTTCAACTCACTGTTGTACAATATTCGTGCATTGGATGGCTAAGTTTATGATTTTTGCCACTGCGACCGAAGAAGAAACATGTCTGACACATGTCAAAATTGAAACACTTTAAGCAACGATAACGGAAGCCAACAATTGGATACTCTTTACAGATGTTACCTAGGGTAAATCACAGAGAAAAGAATTTAACTTAGTCAATAAGTAAGGAAGAAATGTAAATAATAATGGAAAAATAATCGAAAAATGTACAACTTTCCATTCTTCAGTAATAATAATGGTAGTAATTTTAAACAGATGTTACATTTTGCTTGATGTTTAGCCGCTTCGGCTGCAGCCAAACGATGCAAAACCGGTAACCATACTAGCGATTGGGGTTCATGCTGCAACCAACCCAAGAAATGTTGTGCTTCGATTGCAATTTCTGGCAATTCACCGGTGGACCCATTGGTTGCACCATTTTGATCTGGCTGAGGAATGCCAGCTCTCTCCAAACATGAACGAACCGATGGCTCAATGTTAGAACCACCGAACGCAGCCACCTCGCCCAATTGTCGTGGTACTTGAATACAATCGTGCAACAATAGACCAAGTTTACGTTGATCAACTTTACGCTCGGGATCGGCAATCAATCGGAACAAAAAACGATATTTCTCCTCCAAATGCCCCTTGCACAGTAGAATAAGTCCGACCTAAAATAGGTGATAAAAAAAGTGATATTAGTAAAATTATTCTTTGTTATTTCAATTGGAAATCGAAAAAAAATGAACTAAAATTTACCTTAAAACTCAAGACTCGGATTTGACCAGTTCGCTGTGAATCGTATACATTTAGAATCCAATTTATTGCCAAGTCCAGCATAAGCGGCAAATCAATTTGATCGATTGTCACATATAGTGAATGCAATACAGTTGTCATGTCAGGAATATCAATCAATTTATCGTTTTGTGCGCGCAAACCGTGACGGTCAAATGATTCAATCGCAATAGACATGGGAATGCGATCAAAAGCTGCACCAACAAAAATAAATAAATGAAATTAGTGAGTTTTATTTGTGTGTTGTTGAATTGCATTCATTTCAAAAATGTATCTCTAAATACACACCTAATCGCTTTTGAACTGAACGTAATTTCAATGCTGTTCGATAGGCTGAGAACCGAACTTCATTCAAATCGGCTAATGATTTCATCAATTCAATCATTTCCGGATGGTCCCAGTGCGTTGTTTCACGTTCATGACTAGAACAATAACGACAACAATAAATATGCATTTGTTTATTTTAATTAATTGTATATACTCATGAATTGGGCTCAACGGCGTGTATATACACGGAAACTTACTCGATGTAATAGGGTACATTGGCTGGTGTTGTTGCACGTTCCCAAGGCGATTTTACGCTTGTACTGAGATTTGGCAAGGGACCAATTGTACCATTATTCACTGCATGACTTCCATCGGGTGCGAGAATATTTTGATTTGCGCCGGCATTGATTAGAACCTTATGACGTTCTTCTATAGCAATTTGTAATAACTTCATTCTATGAACGAACAAAAATGAAAAAAAGAAAATTAAACAAAATAAATAAACGAGAATTGAAATATTTACATATAAAGATTGAACCAAAATTTATCGACGTTTTACCTTGTATTCAAATCTTCCAGTTTGGCCAAACACTGACTTGGTACTAATACATGATTTGCCGTGAAGAAACTTTGCTGCTCATTACAATCATCAAGCAATGCACCAGCTGTCGTCATTTTATCTCGTAAGCGTTGCAAATATTGAATTTGGTCACTTGCCTCTGAGGCCGATGCTGGTGGTGTCCATGTGTTTGTTGTTGTTTCAGCCGAAGCAACGCGTGACTGTAAATCCTCCAATGTTTTTTGGAATTGACGCATTTTCTGAAAATAATTAAATATTGAGATACAAAAAAACCGATGTTTTCAATTAGTTCTTGCACAAAATCTGTTAAATTAAAAGCCATTATATAACTATAATTAAATTAGTTGGTTTCACACAAATTTGTACCTGAATGAAACGAAGTGAAAGAGCTAATAATATTTGAAAATCAAATGCATTTAACAAAATAAAGCGACTCCGGTGGAGGCATTGCCGAGATATTCGCAAATTAAATTATTCACTAAATTGTTTAAAGCAAACTGCATCTCATTACTCTCAAATCACAAATCGATCATGATTTTAATGTACAAACGGAAAACGTTTGCTATGAAAACGAGCCGAACGCATCACGCCAAACAACTATTTTGCATTTTAAGTGATTAAAATTTTGGTTTAATATTTGGTTTTTCAATTAATTCTTCAACGTTGGGACTATTTACCATGTGAAACATGATGGTTTTGATACAAAGCATGAAACATTACCGCGTTTAATTACTTTTGATCCCTTTTCCGCGCGTGGTTTGTAAAGTGTTTAATTCACGTAATTTATGTGGTTTTTTCTCACCAAACTCATGTTCTGTACAAGTTCTGTATATTTTGCTGTGCTGCCTGTGCTTCTAGTGGACGAGAAGCGGGTTCAATTTAATTGAAATAGTCTATTGTGCGCCGCTTCTTTTAGCATCGTTGCTGGATTTGGTTTTTTGATTTGGGATTTATGCGTGGATTTGTATTTTTCACCATAACATTCCATGGCAAACACTGTTTTTATTAAACAGTTCACGACATAATACTTTAACAACCATTCTTACTTCCTTTTTAAACTATTACATTTTTCAAGCGTTGCTGATCAACGTGGCTAAACCACAATCGATTAAAAAAATTGTTTCCTAATGGAATCACTGCCGTCAGAAAACTTATTGCCATTTGTTTTACTAACAAAAATAACTTAAAGTATTACATTACACATTTCATCTATGTGAACCTCTCGTAATTCAATTAAATCATTTCACATTTTTATACATGTTGACAGAGATGACATCGAACATTCAACGTGCTTTTGCATAAATTATGCAAAAATCAGCTGAATTGCCGACACATCGATTTACTTTTACATTTTAATGCAATAATAACGTCTATAGCTGCTTGCATATTCAAATGATATTCTGTAAATTGACATTTTAATGGCTTTCGCAATAAACGAAACCATTTGAACTAATTGGGTCAATGCAAATATAATCTGTGTGTACTTTGTAGTCGATTCGAAAATCAACGACAAAAGAACAAATGGTATGCATTTCCAAATATTTACACAGCACACCTGTCGATGAAAGTTAGATCACTCTCTCAGTAACTGAAAGAAATAACTAACAAAATACTGCAGTAAAGTTCAAAACATATTATAAATGTCCAGAAATTTTCAATAATAAAATCGTGCATAATTATTTAATTAGATTTTTATACTTATGCATTTCATTACAAGTGTCTACGAATATAATATCATTGAAACTGAATGTAAAAGCATAATAGATATTAGAAAAAGAAATCAAGTCATTCTGCTACAATTTAAAAAATCTCAAAATTAAATATCCAACACTATTCACACTTTCTTCCAGAAAATTCTTCTTTCTTTAAGAAAAATGTTAAGTCTATAAATAAGTATTTGTTTCTTATTCTTGTAGATTTACGATAAGAGCAACAATGTTAAAATCTGTTACATTTAATTTTTTGTTGTAAGCAAAAACAAATGTTTGGTTGTAGTTTAATGTTTTTTTACGTTGCAAGTAAATGTGTCACAATAAAACTTGCATTTCATGAAAAAAAAAAAAGGAAAACAAATGAAATAATTTCATTCCTTCTTAATATTAAGTTCGTTTGTTTTCGATAGAAACTTTTGCAATACATCTTCGTAGTGTATATACGAACGTTGTATGCCACTTCAGTGTGAATATTATAGTGAAACAATAAAAAAAAACGAAACTTAAAAAAGTGTCGAACGAATGAGAAAATGCAATTTCTATCAGTGTATGAGAATAAATATGAACTTGAAACAAACATTGGCTTAATAGTGTTGGCGACCGAGTGCACAATAAAATATTTTATTTAAGGGTATTATAGCGTGCTCCCAAATTGGGAATCCCAATTGGTATGTAATGAAAGATACCAATTCAAGATATCTTTATGATGGATCAAGTCAATTATTTCGAAAAAGACCACTTGACCACTTGCCTATCAAACATCACTTAGCTCGAGTAAAGTCTGTAGACTCCGTTTGATCAAACTTCTAAATGTGTACCCCTACCAAAAGAATTGAAGTATATTTTCGAGAAAACTTAAGAAAAGTCGACAACGATACTTGTGATAAAAGTTTGTAGAGAAAAACACAGCAAAAAAACCATTCTGCATATTAATTTACAATGAACACTTTTAAAGTTGAAATATTGCGAAACAATTTTGCACATTTGCTCGCACAAAGCCATCACGAAAATGGTTGTCGAGCATTTCTATTACATCATTGCAATTCGTTTATTCTTGTTCTATCGTTCGCTCGCAACGCGCTGTGCGCTATACATTTTATTCCTTTTAATCGCTGAATTCGAGACAATGATGCATGTACTTTATGTGCAGCGCACAACAACACTTTTGAACTATTAACAAAGGCGACCGAATCTTGGAAGGAAACGTGCAAATGAACATTTCAGCGACGAAAATTGAATAAAGTCACTGTTATGTTATTACTATTAAATGACACTCTGAGTTTCACAGAGAGATCAACAAGAAAAGTAATTATGATTTAGATGAAATTGAATAATATTTTCATTCTATTATATACTTATTTTTAAAGTAAGTTATTTCAATGCTTTCTGCATCGAAATCCTATAAAAGTTACCAAGTTTCAATTAACTTCAGATACATTTTTTCAAGTCAAATTATCGTCGTTTTGAAATGAAATATAAAAAATAATACGAATCATACTTAAAGGCAAAATAATTGTGATTTTCCGGTTTATATGACATCGAGACTATCAAAAAAAGTCTATTTGTAAATAAAACCGAAGTCATGACTCACACACATAACTTGATTTTATTTACGGGCAATGTTTTCTTCGTGGATCTTATCTTTTTTTGTTTGTTTTTTGTTGTCACTTTTGCTTCAAATTGTTAGTGTCACTTTTTTTTACAAAATAATAAATAAAGAAAATATTTTTAGGAAAACATTGTTTGGGCAAAAACGCGTATATAGATCACTACTTTGTAGACAATTAAACAAACAAAGTATACTGTTGCATCGATAATGAACACAAATTTCTTTCTTTATAACCTTTTAAATTAATTTCGTGTGTAAATTGAATTAATAGTCGCTCATTCATTAAATAGTGAAAAAGTTTAATTTTTTTATGGAATAGGTGGATAAACCACGAAGAAGAATTGTTCTCATAAAGGTATTGTATTCGGTGCATACAACAAAAGAGAATTGATAATAATGACGGCTTATCTACTTTAATAGTTTGCCAGACGTATTTGCGAATGCATGATACGACGTTGCGTGATTAAGGATATTCAAAATTATAGACACTACGCAACTTAGTACTTCTTGTATGCGAAAATGAATAAGTAAATAGACAGGCAAAGGATCATAAACCTGCAATGTGTTTCGGATTAGTGTTAAATAAAATAATCTCATTTTGTGAATTTATTTTGCTTGAGTAACGACCACAAGCATCGTGTACGGTTCTTGGGTCATAAAAAGTAACGCTATTTTCATTTCTTAGAATGTGTCACAATCGCTGTGAGAAGAGAAAAAAAAATAGCGACAGCATTTAAAAAGTGTCGTCGTGCAAATTGTAAACATTGTCTTAAAATGGCACAGAGTATATCGATCGATTCCATGGCAGTGGTGTCGGTGTTCAAATAACTATTTCTGCAACAAAGACGATTTAGATAATCTAAATATTAATTTTTCCTCACAATTCTCTGCATTTACTGCATAGCTCATTTTTGCAATAGCTACGAAGTGCAGTTTTGTCCACCGTAGTACAACAAAAAAGTACTAGAATTGGCGTAAAGCACTAGGCGAAAAATACAAACGAAAGCTAAAGCCAAAACATGAACAAACAATACGAATATCACATTTCATCTTTAATCATAGTTTTTAATCGCCTTAAAACAACTTAGAACGATGGTCAACACAACCGGCAGAAAATGCGCATCGTAAGCAGATTACACTTTTTTATTATACTTTGAAATGAATTGAGCTATGAAAGAATGGGAAATTAACTTAGAATGTTGTAACGAAAATGGTTGATTAAAAAGTTCGCTCGTTCAAACATTAATCGAACGGTCGGATTGAAGCAAATTTTGTGTATTTTATTCCATTACCAATGGCGAAGCATCATGGTATCTGTCATAACCAACTGTATCAATTTGTTGCCATTTCCAATGTGAGCAAAAACATCTCCAAGTCATTTCCTTTTGTCTGTCTTCATAATTTATAACGGTGCACTGCGATATCGCTGTGAGAAACTCTTAACTTCATTGAAATCAAGATTGAAATGAAACTCATGCTTATCATATAACATGAAGGCTCATTTTCATCCATTTAATAGCGAAAAAAAATTTAGTTGAATGATTAATATCCTTTTGTTGTGTATTCCGTATTGTTTTGTATTCATTCAAACGTTATGAATGCATAACATTGACAAATGATGGGTCAACCAAAGTTTTAAAATGAAATTTCCTTAATTAAAATCCATGAATTGAATGGTGTTCTAAACAAACCTCGACTTCGAATCGTAACATTTCGACGACTTGCATATACAACATTTCGCCCTCAGTTTTAGCTTCGCAAAATATATCATCGTCGTCGATCAATGTGATATCACATTCATTGTACGAACATTCAGACGAGCTTCCATCATCGTCCCCGTTCACGCATACAGTGCTGCGATTTAGTGATGCAATTCCATCGTCATCATCATCCAAGTTATTATTTGAATCGCTGGTTA